GTTAACATAAAATATTTGGGTTTTCTCTCTGAAAATTCAATTCCAGAGCTACCTAGATTTATTTCAGGATGTTTTCCTATAAAAATTGTATCATCCATGGAGAGAAGTAGATTTAATTTTTATGCCAGAATGAAATCCAGAAGCATTTTGTTTTATGAGGGAACCCTTTAATGTATTTTAAAAAAATACTGGTAGTGTTAATACAACCCACCCCAGCTGTCATTGGTATCCTGTGCTACTGCCTAAGCATGTGAAGTAGCCATTAACACTGCTGTCAGGTGGGAAACTCTGTGTGCTTCAGCTGTGAAAAGAAAATTCCAGTGCAAAGTGTAACTTAGTGTTAAAAAAACCTGGATAATGCATGAACTGCAAGTACAGGCTTTTTTCCCCACAGTGACCTTGTTTTCATTTGATCCTAACCTTCACAAAATTTGGGTCTTTAAGGCTGAAATAGACAGTGTTCCAAACTGGATTGCTTTTGCACTCTTGTAAAAATTCTTGGCTGAACAAAATTTGTTGTCCAGCACTTCACCGAGGTTGGATAAGTGCAGAAATGAAAGTAGATGGAGATGTAGAGGTCAAAACTCATGCCTGAGAAAGAAACGCTAAGTATAATAGGACAAAATACAGGTTTTAGGGGTAAACGATGACAATGGAGAGAAGTGCGAGAAATTAGAGAAAAATATGAATGAATATTAGCACAGATTTCAGAGGCGAATGCTGGAATGTATTAGTCATTCAAGAAAAAAAATTTAAAAGAGAAGTACATACGTATGGGATAAGACTATATCAAGACTGTTTCCTTCCCAAATCCACAGTTAGACATTGTAGCTCTGTGGCTGGCTGTGGCTCTAGCTTTCCAAAAATGACTCATGAAAGTCGCTTTTGAAATTGTGTATATCAGTACTTGCAATTGTCTTAATGAGTTCATATGGTGGAATTCAGTGCTGGGACTCTAAAGAGGCAAAATCAGTGGACAGAACAAGCTGGACAATTAATTTTGTTTCATAGGATATGAAGTTTGCATATACACATGACTGTTTGTGTGGTGCAATCATTAATGAGTCAGATATGTTTTCCTTAGCCCCTGAGTTTTAGGGCAGTCGTCAGATGATTGAACATAGTGTAGGAAAGACTAGGATAGGGTATTTCTCACACAAGTTAAAAGATATATATGTAAAATAGTCAGGAAAATACTAGAAGAGAGGGAATGGTTTCATGGTTAGGAAAATTGGCAATTGTGAAAATGGGATACTATTCCTGCTTTTACTGATAAGTTCTTATTAAAAGTGGTCAAATTGCTTTGACCAAAATTTTCTGTTGGGCACTAAATACTCATTTTTGGATTTTCTACAGTGGGCCAGATTGTCAAAGTGCTCTCCCAGCTACAGTTTAAAGTCGTTGGTAGTGTGCTTTGCCCATATAAAACCCTGTACAAATACAAAGTAGTTAAGGAAAATCAGTAGTTTTATTTCATTTGTGAGGAACCAAATATCTGTGGAAAGTTTTTCCATTTTTGCCCATTATCTCCATGCCATGATAGGAAAAAGCCATTTCCCCTACAGTCTATTCCACTTCTGAAGTCAATTAACATTTTTGAAACACTTAGATAACTTTGGTGAAAGCTCTAACTGGCTCCAGAGGAATTTGTTAATTTCCCTTTTCAGTTTAGTGTTGAAGTATCACACTAAATAGTTCAATATTCTTTACTATGGGAGGTATGAGTATGATGCAGAAAAAAAATTGATACCATACTCCAGTGTATTCTTATGATGGAAACAAATTAATTGCCCGGTGAAGCTTTCAGTTTAGGAAGTGTTGAAATTAAGTGCTTGATTTCACTATTTGAAAGGGGTGTTCAATTTGGTTTGGGAAAGGATGGAAGGGGAAAAAGAGAAAGGCCTTTATTGTATAAAATATATTTAGAAAGTGAATTTCCTTTGGTCTATGGTGGTGAAAATTACTTGACAGGCAGATTATGGATATGTGGGGCTCCTAACCAGGAATATCATAGCTAAATTTGTTCCCATTAAAATCCATAAAATATCTTGGATTGCTTCTAGAAATGTTTGTGGTGTGTATTGCAACAAGTATTCATTCTCCACAGTTCAGAACTGCTCTTGGCCAATGGGATTGCAAAATATCTGTCAACTTTGGCTGACAGCCTAACGTTGCCACAGCAATTTTTCTCTTTAATGAGTAAAATAGGTGATGTTTATAGAAAAATAACTGTCTCATGAGAAGCTGTGCAAAACGTTCCATTTTAAGCCATTCTGTTTATATATAGTTTCGTTGTTTGTTTTCTTTTCTTTTTACTTACTACTGTGGACATTTGCATGAAAACAGGATATTTCTCCTTCAAATTGCAGTCATGGACAGAATAGCTACTATACCAAAATGGAGCCAACCCACTTAAAACAAAAACCCAACCATTTTACTTACCAAATCTGTTTCTTCTGTGCATGCAAAGTTTCGAGCACTTATTTTCCTACCTAAATTTAGGGGCTGTTTTTTTTTGCATTAGCTCTGTAAAATCAACAAAACCATATGGATGTAATAAAGTGAGAATACATTCCTGCAAAGATTAAATTATTAAAAATTCATAAATAACATTTATGTTTTAATATTTACATTTTTATATTTAATATTTATGTGACGTCAGGGATAAGAGTATATTTTGTTATATGTGCTGGCTTTTTCTTTTTACGCAGCCCAGAAACAATGATAAATACTCAGGAGAGAGAGATAAATAGAAAAGCTGAGTCCTGGTTTTGGTTGCTGATGATCAATAGAATTAATAAACACAAAGAACATTGGAGTTCTCTCTGATGGACAAATTTGATTTTTCAAAGTCTCAGGTTGAGTGTAATATTCTACCAATTAGGGACATACACTTTTACTGACAAGTTGCATATTTTCTCTGTTTTGGCAATATCTTATAATGCCCTGAAGATTACTTTAGGTGTCCTGGGATGAACCAGTGTGCATTAACACAAGTGTACATTAATCAGTGTGCATTAACACAAGTGTACATTAACCAGTGTACATTAACAGGGTACATTAACACAAGTGTTCATTAACCAGTGTGCATTAACACCCATGTTCCTGTATGTATTTACATCACTTAACACCTTAGTCCCTGGCTTCAGGCCTGTGTGAGTGCCCAAGGAAACTTCTCAACTGCCCAGAGAGCTCTGTGTCATTTGTTTCTCTGGCAGGAATGAGAAGGAGAGTGAGTGAGGTTGGCTGCCAAATCCCCAGCCCCTGTAAGCCCTCATCCTGGCAATCAGGGTCCTGGATCACAGAGCCTTACAGCTGGAGACAGCTCCAGACAGAGCCCTCTTACAGGGGCTCTGCCCTGTAGGGGCTCACTGCCCTGGGCTGGGAGACTGCCTGCAGTGGCTGGTGACACACAGCATGCTTTTCCTGCCCCTCCTCCTCTCAGTCTAAGGTGCTTCTCTGAAAGCTGATACCTATCTGCGCAAAATCCACTGGATGAAGCTGTCATCTGTTTGTACAACTGCAGGATTTATATTCACTAATAAGTAAATATTCCCTCTCTGGTTAATAAATGGAACGCCAGGACTGCAGGGCAGGTGAGCATAGTCCTCTGACTGTAAAGATTTGCAGGGAAATTAAAAATGGGCAGGCTTTTGTTTGTACTTCACAGATCAAGTTTTTGAATTCCAGGAGCGCCTCTGCTTCCTACTGCTACCTGTAAATCTTTCAGACAACATATTTTTCTCACTTGAACAAAGGTGTTCCACTGAGCTTTCCCAGTGGAACCAGCCTGCATTTGGCTCTGAGAGCCCAAACAGTCTGTTTACCTCATTGGGGCCATATGAATTTGTGCTTTGCAAATAAAAATTATAAAAACTATGTAAAATATACCTCTCAATTGGCTCTTTGGAGGAATTAGTTGCATTTATTCCTATTTTATAACTGTTCTGTATGTAATTTGCACTCAACAACTTTTAAGGTTGTTTTTATTTTGAGCAACTAATAATTCATGTATTTTCATCCTTGTAGGATTTGACACGGGATTGTGGCTTGATGAAATGTTTGCAAAGTAATTCAGCATAAATAGGCCAGTTAGTTTCTTTGGTTATCTCTTGGTGATATTCAGCTCCCACCTATTTTTTCAGTGCTGCTTTGGCAAACTGTTACAGATTTCAGCAGCAGTCAGTTCACGGTAATTATATCCTATAATACACCAAGTAAATAAATGATAAATCAGCAAATGTTAACCAAACAAGAAATGCAACCCTGGGCACTAACTGGGCTTGAAATTCTCCTGGGTAAACACAGCAGGTGAGCAAAAGAGTATGACAAATAGGGTAAGAATTTCTTAAAGCCTGACTGCCACAAGTATGTCAATGGAGCTGAATCAGCATGGGAAGGACACAGTAATTTACTGTTGATTCAAAAGCCAGTAGCTCACTGCTAGGCTTCTGGGTGATGTGGAATGCATCAGCTGGAAATGCAGATGACTAACCTTGAGGGACTGCTGCTTCTGCTGCTCTTCAGCCCAACTCTTGTGCTGCTCCTTTCCAGGGACACTTCTCTGGAAACAACAGCATGTCATAGAGCTGTTGGGATGGCCTACAGTCAGACCAGCAGCCAAAAAATGTGAATGATACCAGTCCTCTTTTTAGAAGTTGCAGTTTTACTATTTGCCTTTCTGAATTGAAAAACATTGATTTTGCTTTGCCTTTATCAGGCCAAATACATGGTAAATATATATGTATGTCATGTGTACAAATTATTGTTTAGCAATATAATTTATATTTCTTTGCTATAGGATTTCTTACATAAAATATGCTTTTCCTATGCTATTCCTCCAACATTTTCCCCACTAGAAACAAGGCCTTTTTCTGCCTTTCTTCCTCTCACCTCTATTTTTCCGTATAGAAATACATTTAGTTCTTGTGTTGATAGTTACTTTACTCTTAAGTTACATCTCTGCCTGACCTCCAGCTTTTCTCTGTTTTCATTGTCAGCTCATGGATGCTATGACTGTAGGACTGTGCTGACTGACCCCTCTGGAGTTTTCACTTCGCCATGCTTCCCCAGTGACTATCCCAACAGCCAAGCCTGCAAGTGGATCATCCGAGCACCTCATGGATTTATCATCCAGCTAACATTTATTGATTTCGACATTGAAGAAGCTCCAGGCTGCATTTATGATTCACTGACATTAGACAATGGAGAAAGCCCAATGAACCTTTGTGGCATCACTGCCAAAGGATTATCCTATAATTCTACAGGAAATGAAATGATTGTGTCATTTAAAAGTGACTTCAGTATCCAAAAGAAAGGTTTTAATGCCAGCTATGTACGAAGTAAGTAAGTCCAAAGCATTTCATCCCATTATAGATGTTATAAGGAAATGTCCTATAAGGATTAGAATGACTTCCCAAAGGAATCAAGTCCTCCATAAGAAGAGAATGGATGGGTGAGGCTGCACTTTACAGGGTTATCTTGTGTCTTTTATTAGCTAATTTATTTTTCTGTGGATCAAAATTATTTTATTCCAGGACATGACAAGAAGTGTGTTAGAAAACCCTTTCACATGCAAAGATTTTAGGCCTGACAGTTCTCTCCCTGCCATGTTATGCTGGAGGATTTGGAAGCAGGATAGGTGTCTTTCAGGTCAGCACACCTGCAGAAGGACAGAGAAACCTAAATGGAGAGCATGAGAGACAACTTAGTTGAGCCAGAAAGATCAGCCTGGACCTGTGGCCCAGTGTAACTCCCAGCAGTGGGGAGAAGTTTGTGCAGAAAGCAGAACTTCTCAGATTTCATCCAGCCTCTGGAACAAACTCCCAGGGACGAGCTGACGTAGCAAAATGACTACCTGTCATCCCAGTTCCTTGACCTTTCTTTCCCTTCCCTAAATATGTAACAATGGTTTTAAAGATTTTAAAAAGACACTCATGCTTTTTTCCCTAGAAGATAAGCGTGCAAATAATTTCTGATTGGAGCATTAATTAGAATTAATTAGACAGTAAAGGGCAGTGAGGTAACAAAGGGCATTAGGACAGTCACTGCCAGGCCCCATGTGTGGCTCACTGTTCATTCCACTTCAGGGTTATGGTTTCCAGTGGCCTGCTCTCAGTAGACTTTCTTTTTGTAGTGGTTGCACACCTTAAACTGAGCACTAGCATTTAGCCTTTATATTATTGTAGCACAGTAATGTGCTGCAGGTTGGCTTGCTGTAAAAACACAGAGCAGGGAAGTTTGGCAGTTCTCTCTTCAGTCACAAGCACATCTTCCTCATGATTATTTAAAAATATTTATTACACATTTCATATATTTTAAAATAATTAAGATAGTAAATCCCAGGAATCATAAGACAAAAGTAGGCATAATTATGTCATCAAAATCTTTGTGCAGTCCTGAAAAGAAGAAAGGTAACATCACAGGGAAGCTAAAAATACTTCTCTCTATTAAGTCCTTTCATGCTGACGAAATGGGTCTACTTCTCTCTAGGTCCTTTCATGCTGACAAAATAATGTAGTAATAACTGTAGGAGCACCTGTTTTCTTATTAGAGTCAAAGCAAATTTTCTGAAAGGCTTCTATTTGAAGAGGCTTTCTATTTGAAATTAACAAAACACTTGCTGTATTGTAAGAAGTTGTAAAATCAAGTGGATCATAAAAAATTATATGGAGTCAGATTATGCAAAATATTTAATATTTTAATGTTTAAATATCACTGTAAGAGATGAGTTACAATTGGAAATAAAAGATGCAATGTTGACCTCAGCTGTGTTTAATAAGAAGAAAAGTCTACAAACATAGGCAGAAAACCCTTTGTGTATATATACCTAGACTAATGTATTATAATGGAAGCAAGAATATTACCTCCAAATTGAGTAGTACCTTATACTCATGGATAGGACCATCAAAATTAAATAGTCTTGGAAGATAGCCTTTTATGTTGAAAAAGAAGGCTATTCTCCAGTGCCAGTAAAAGTACCAAAGACCTTCACCAGTGGCTTATATTTTAATTTTTCACAAATATATTAGTTCAGAAGCTCTGTGTTAAGTCTTGCTGTTAAGCACCTAGGTTGAGACTGGCTTCATTTGGTTTCATTATTCCAAATATGTAACTTTCACCTGACATCTTGATTTTGACTGTGGATGCTGGGAGAGCTGTCTGCATTCTTCTAGGGCAATTTATAACTGTATTCTACTTATTGCTCACAGTTGTGCAATTGTGTTACTTTCAGAACATAGTTGCAGACAAAGATCATAGTAAAACTTAACCTGGAAATGGATACAGAAAGGAGTCTGGGGAAAGGGATCATAATGTACTGCTTTCCTTTCAAGTTAAAAAAGCATGTGGAAAATAGCACATCAATGTGCACACACACTGAAATGACAATGCATCCACATGGCAGATGCCTGTGCTATGCTTGCAAAGAGTTTCCACAGGCATCCAAAGGATTGCACACCCCTTCACTTCACATCATGTGAAAAATTGCACACCCCCTCACTTCACATGAAGTTTCAAAGCTTGTAGTTCAAGCTGACACCATCTTTAACTACCAAAAATGTGACATGGCAGCAAAAGCATTAATTTCACCCAGAACTAGGGGAATGCTGTTATATTTTTTTCCATTTCTAAGAAATTACATTTTATATATAATAATAAAATTAACTAGTTTGTTCCACTTTGAATTTCAGAAAGTAATGCAAAATTGGAACATAAAAGGCCATTCAAAGACACACAATTTGCTATCTAGAAATGAAGTTTAAAAAGACATTAGTGATACAAACATCCTAGTATGCAGCATGTACACAAGACAAAATACATGTGGGGAAAGACAGACAAGAGAGTGAGTTGTGGGAGGGAATTAGTTGGGGAATAAAACAAGTTTTGTGTGACTGCTCAGTTTTATTTAAGTTTCAAACTGAGTTTTCCAGAGTCCTGTTGTCCATATCAAATTGGCTACCCACAAAAATGTTTGTTTCCTGCCTGCCACCTCCTGCAACACACCAGTAGCAGATGGACAGGCCATATCCTCAGCTGCAGTAAACCAATCTAGCTTTGCCAGTCTTAGGGGAATTATCTCAATTTACACCACATGAAGAGATGTCATGGTAAATAATTTCCTAGTAACACTTAACTGTAAGTAATAACTCCACCAGTAAGTAGAAGTCAGTCACCAAAAGGGGAGGAAGGAGAGCCAACAGACCTGTGTTAGTACAGAAATGCTTGAGGCAATTTAGCATACAGTTAAGTAGGACTGCATTAGCCCAAATGAAAAGCACAATTCACTGAGGTAGTAACAAAACACCTCCAAATATATTGTGTATGTAGACATTTGCAGACCTCATTAAATTTGGCACATTTCTTCCAGCCTCAGAGACAGGGAAGATGAAAGCTGGGGAGCTAGAAACAGCAGAAGGCACCCCTTAAGCACCAAACTATACTGAAAAGCCCATCAACTGGCAGGAGACCAGTGCTCCCTGCAAGGGATTATAAAATATAGCCAAAGGACTTCTGGCTTGTTCATGCATTAGGGGGTGTATGAGATGTGAGACAGGGAGATGCAAGTAAGGTAGATGTTTGTACATTCTTCATAAGAAAATGTATCAAAAAACTCCATGCCCATTGTAATCCAGTTATCATAGAACAGTCTAAGTTGGAAGGGACCCAGAAGAATCAACTCCAGCTATGGTGTGAATGACCCATACAGGGATCAAACCCACAACCCTGGCATTATTCACACCATCCTCTAACCAGCTGAGCTCATCTCAGGATCTTCTTAAGAGAAAAAAATGTAGCATCATTCTGAAAGCATTCTGAAACATCTGGATGAGTATTCCAAGAGTACATGTATATTCTTCCTCAGAGAATAATCAGTTTCTCTGATACTAACATTTAAATTCATCGATGTGATGACTGACCGTGCCACAGCAACCAGGAAAGTGATCTGCACTTAATATTGATGGCAGGATTCAGTTTTCTCCATGTGGACAAAATACTTGTCAGTTTTGTCTTTTCAGTATATGGGGAAGCTGCCAGTGGTTAAATCTGTACAATGAATACAGCAAAATGGAGTAGACTTCTTCAGTAGGCGAGCAAAGTCCTTCCCGTTTATTTCTCTTTCTGCACTGTTTAAATGTGACCAGGTGGTCCATAACTTTTCTGACCACCTGGTCTGGATAGTGCTCATGTGAATAAGCTTTCTTCTTTTTCTAGTCTTGAATCCTTACACTTCTTCTGGAACACTTTCCATGTTACGTAAAGGAGCTTACAGTATAATTAACCCGCTAAAAAAATGCCCCTGTTTTCAATGGAGAGTTGAACGCATTTTCTATCTATAAAATTGTTACAGCATGCTTTTTCCCTTGGGAAGAAAAATAAATCTATGAAGTAAATCCAGTAACTATAAAAGCCCAGTATTTTTCTCTCTTCCCTCCTATTATGCAGTTGCTGGGTTGGCAGATAATGCACAATGCTTTATGTTATTTTACTATGTAATATATTGGTCAAATTATGTTCTTATGTATATCCAAATATGGTAGTTTGGAGCTCAGAGTCTTTGCAAGAGGCTGGCAGAGAATTTGCAGTACCACAGACAACACAGAATCCTTATACACCATGTATCTGTGTCTTTTCCTGGGTATGGCGTGACAGTCACCCTTCCCTCAGGTCTCACACACTCATGTTTGAAAGGGTTTTATTTCAATCTGAGAAGAGAATAGGTGTCGTAATTAGTATCTCATGACATCCCTGATAAATCCCAGAGGAGACTGGGAATTAACTACTGTGGCAATTATTCTTCATGTTCTGCAAGAAACAGTTTCATTTCCAGCATATACACTGTGAAAACGTGTAAGAGGTAGCAGACATTTGCAGGAGATACAGGTCTGAGGCAGAACTGAGGAGCCAGAAGTAAAACTGAGAACTGTTGCAATCTGTACCAGACACCTTTGCATGAATGGTAACCAGAAACTTTTCTGAGGAGAAATTTGCTATAAGAATTTTGCTGCCATAAATGTGACAATAAAACTGAGCATAGTGATATTCTCTTTTGAAAAATAATGTTCTCTGAAATATAGTGAACAGAATTTTCATTCATGTACTCATGGAGAAAAAGTATGTCATGTGATACTTTCTTATTTAGTGGTTGTCATTTTGCCCATGCAAATGAGTATACATAACAACAATTAAAGCAATTCTGCCTATATACCCTTGCAGCAATATATAAATTGCTGTAGGACTAGAAATTTCTAGACACTTGTGCAAAGTCCAAAACTGCTGATCCAACTGTTAGTAAATAGGGAACAGCTTGGATAGAAATATTCATAAGCACACAATTTCAGTATTCGACCAGAAAGCTGCTGGGGACAAAATGAGAAGATGCCTAATGCTGTGCAGAAATTCCCATTAGCTGAATTCAGCAACAAAAGGCTTCAGTTTGCCAAGGAATGTAATGGGGCCTTTCTTCTATTGCGATATTTAAAAGAAGGAAGGCCCAAACTTCACTGGTGTAATGCATGCAGACAACTAATTAAAATAATATATTTTAAAAGCACGTCATACTGTGTTTTTCAAATAACTGGTTTATTCCATTGCTTAATGCATCCTTACTAGATGAATGAGAAGTAATTTTTATTAAATGAGCTGAAGCAGAGTTGGAGGTCAGTAGGTAATATGTCCTAATATTGCTCTTAACACAACTTAGGGGGTTGTTAACTCGGTGTCACACAGGATTCTCTGTGCCATTGAAAGGATTGCTGCATATTTTCAGCTGAGTTCACTCTCAAGTCAAATTCCCCTTGGTGTGTGCTGCTGGTGTATTACAGTGATAAAAACGACCTGATGAATGTTTGATTTAATGAATGTTACTTTAACCCCTGCTGCCAGTCTGCCTTTATTCCTATATGATGAAATTTTTTTTTGATAGTTTACGCATCTGCTCTTGGTTCTAGTTGCCGTGTCCCTGAGGAATCAGAAAGTCATCATTCCCCAGGTTCCTGACATTGATGCTGTGTCTGTGGCAGAGACCGTCTCAGTGCCAGAGCTCAGACAGTTTACACTGTGCTTTGAGGCAACCAAGGGCAACAGTGATGACAACGACGACTGGAAGGTTTTCTCCTACACTGATGCATTGTTGAGAGAGCTCTTCAGCTTCGGGAAGACCACAAAAGGCCATTTTCTGTCCATCTCAGGCACACAGTGCATCCTTAAGAATGCATTGCCCCGAAATGCAGAGTTTTTCACAGGAACCTTTCAACAGCTGTGTGTTGTATGGGACAGCTTCTCGGGCACTATAGGTATATATGCCAAAAACACCTATCATGTGGTGGACTGTCCAGAGATCTATGACAAAGTTATCCCTGGAAATGGGAGGCTGGTGCTGGGCTCTAACAGCAATGAAGTGAGCTCTCTAAATGGGGACATTTACAACTTCCGCCTCTGGAATTTCACCATGAATGCGCAAACACTGGCCAACCTCAGCTGCGATGTGAAAGGAAACATTGTAGACTGGGAAAATGAATTCTGGAGTATTCCAACTTCAGCACTGAAAGCAGAAAACAATTTGAGTTGTGGTGAGTATGCCTTGCCAAAACTTTTTTGCTTATCCTCCCCCCCATACTTCTGTATTGTGCTGAACATACCACATACCAAGATAGAAAAAAATGAGAGCATTCCCATGAAAGAAAAATAGCAAGGTCTTACCTTTATTAGAGTTTAGCTCAACTCTTACCATAAACAGAGGCTTTGAAAGGGTATGGAGTTGAGTCCTTAAAGGAAAAGGACAACTCCCCTAAGTTTATTGAGCTACATGAAATGATCTGCAGATCAAAGATTTCCTAAACACTCCATATTGGCTCATTCAAAAGGGGAATAATGGCGAGTACCTACTAGCCTCAGATAAGATTACTGTGGTCTCTGGAGAAAAAAATGTATGTTAGCTAATTAATTACTAAATGTTTTTGAACCTGCCCTTTGGCCCTTTGATTAGCCAGCGGAGCCCATGCTAGCCTCATGCTGTATATGCAGAGGCAGCAAAAGCATTGACAAAAGCAGTGCAGAGGTGACAGGAAGCTAGAATAAAATATTAAATTAGAAGAGATGGACGGGAAGGAAGAGTTAGAGATAAAAATCATGATATTTTTTCTTCATGATGACATATTATCAGTCCTTTTTAGCTGGTACTTACTGAAGGTGTTTTTTCCTGGAGATTACTCCAGAAGATAAATATCAATACATTTAACAACCTATTCTCATTTTATGTCTCAGACACTTGATTCACATAAATGTCCTGGAGTGGTTTTTGTACATTTGATAGAGCATCTGTCAGCATTCTGAGAATCCTTAGTTTAGAAGAGAAGCTGCCATCGCTAAGGCCTTCTAGCTTCTGTATCTAGTAGTTCTTGAGGGATTAAGGTGGCTAAAAAAGCTGCTTTACTTGCTTTATTTTACTCATATCAAAGTGGGTGATGCTCAATCACAGCTAGAACTACTAAGAAAGACCTTAACATGCCTCTGCTAAAAAAAATTAAGCAACACCTCTATGAAACCCCAAGCAACTAGGTACCTTTGCTTTTCTACCAGAACAAAGAAAAGGCTGATCTGACCATGAGTGATGAACAAAAACATTTTTTCTGGATAATGTTTTGGAGGGTTTTTTTTGACAAAAAAAAACCTGTTTCTATTTCATTTGTATAAACTGACCTGATAGAGAATAACTTCCCAGAAAATCATGCTATGAGGCAACTGACTCACTAGCCAGTCTTTTTCTTTCTTTGACATGAAATCACCCTCTGTGATACAGGCTTTCCTGAGCCATAGTATTCCTGAAAGAAAATTCTGGGTGCAGAGCCATTTCAAAGATCATTACTAATCCCAGAGATGAAATTGTTAGAATTGTCTTCCATTCCTCCTCTCAAGTAAAAGCCTTCTTTGTAAAATCAGCCTTCAACAGGAGAGTTGATGAGTCAGGCTATCAACCATGAATAAACCACTGACATTGGGGAGCTGACTCTGATTAGGCTTCATTTAACAGCAGTGAAAGGATTTATGCAGAAAAGAGTTTTTCACACAGCTCCAGTAATGCTTCACCAGGAAGTGGCCTGTAACTTAAAAAAAGCCCAAGCATTTAGCAGTGATCTCAACATATCTTTGCCTGAACAGTGCTTACATTTTCAAGGGGTATTATTTTTATAGTTTTTCAGACAAAACTTTTACAAGTAGATTTATGGGGCATAAAACACCAGCAAATTGTTTCAGATAATCTTTTCATAGTTTTACCTTTTATTAGTTTATTCCTTAGACTAATGTTTTCACAGCTGTGCAGTTGTGGTGAGGTGTTTGCATAAGACTTGACAGAATTCTGGTTTTATTGCCATACCTTTGTGCAGATGGCATGTAAAGGTATGCATACACAGCCTAGGTATCCAGATTATCTTAAAACAAGTAACCTAGGTAATGATAGAAGTATGGCTACTGCCCACCAGTTCAGAGTTCGGTGCCGGCAAACTGAGGAGCATTTAATCAACTTCTGGTTCTGATTCTGAAGTCTGCACTGGCCACAGCTATAGCAGGATAGGATCTACTCATTTTAAAGGTAACATGGCCACATATCTGTCCATGCCTGCAATTGTTCATTTTTTCATGTGCATTTCATGGGTTCTTCATTCCCAAAGGCCAAAGGAATCCTTAATTTTGCTCTCAGATTTAACTCAGTGTGGGATGTGTCTGACTTAGGCAGCTGGCCAATGTTTCAGGCTAAGATAATTGCCCTCAGTGCTGTTTATGAATAGTAGAATCAAAAAGGCTATTCCACAGGTCAGTGCATCGCATGCTGGAAAGATGTCTCAGTGAAGTCAAAGTTCTTTTGCTGTGGGAGTGCCTGTTCCTCTCCACTGGCTATAAAGTCTAGCACGACAAGCAGAAATGGATGTCTGAGTTTTAGACATTTGAACTGAGATGTATCACACAATGTGTCTGTAATATGGGTTCATGGGGTCACAAATCCTGTCAGCAAATCTGCTCCAGAATGGGTTCCTGTCTTCATGGGTACACGGCTCTTGCCAGGAGTCTTCTCCAGTTCCAGTTTTCCATGGAGCAACAGCCTCCTTCAGGCACCCCCCTGCTCTAGCATGTGGTGGCTGCAGGTGGATCTCTGCTCCACCATGGACCCCATGTGCTGCAGAGGCACAGCTGCTTCCCCATGGTCTGCACCATGGGCTGCAGGGGAATCTGAGCTCAGGCACCTGGAGCACCTCCTGCCCCTCCTTCCTCACTGGCCTTGGTGTCTGTGGGATTTTGCTCTGACACATCCTCACTCCTCTCTTGGCTGCAATTGCTGTTGGGCAGTAACTTTTCGCCCTTTTAAAATCCATTATCCCAGAGGCACTACCATTGCTGCTTACAAGCTCAGCCTTGGCCAATGCATCCATCTTGGAGCCGGCTGGCATTGGCTCCATTGAACATAGAGAAAGATTCTGTGAGAGTCTTCTCAGAGAACTTCCCCTGGTACCTCCTTGCTGCCAAACACTTGCCATGCAAAATCAATGCAATAGTCTTCTGACTTAAATGTTTTGTAAATTTGGATTTGATTTTTTTTTAGTTTCACCAAATAAAATCACAATCTTGTTTAAAATACTCAGTGAAGAAAATATGAACACCCACAGTATTTCCATCCAACTCCCAGGTCATCTTTCTCTGTTACACGACAGGGGTGAAACAGAGTAGGTTTTGATACTGACTGTTTAATATTAACAAAATTATTTTGGGAGAAAAAACCCACCTCATGGAGGGTATAGTACACTTATTTAGAACATCCTTCCTGGAATTCATAAGAATTGTATCGAGAAAGTGAATTTGCCTCTCTCTCTTAATCCATTAAAAAAAATCAGTGAAATTTAATATTTGTTGAGGATCATTTAATATTTGTTGTTTTAATTACACTCTATATTTGTTGGCAACACATGTAATGTTATCTGGGTCATGATACAATTTCTGTGTCAAAGCTCCATGCTTCATTTGTTCTTGCATCATAGGAAATATTTTCTTAGCTAGCTTTACAAGCCGATGGGTGGTGGCTGTTTAATTTTGTGGAAGGATAGTGTGTTTCATGAGAGAACCCCATTGACTCAATATGATTCTGAAGTAGCAAAGCAAAAGCCAAAAGGGCAAAACTCCTAGCGGGTTCACATTTTGCCAGAGCTGTATGGTCCCATTGTGTTCAACACAGTGTGCAAAGGCAGCTGTATCTGCAGCTGAACCTCTGGGATACGTGGAGTGTAATTAATGCAGTTGCACCAGTTCTTTTTCTGTAGCCATTCTTGGGTGCCCTGGTTTTGTCTCCAGATCATCATCAAAGTGTAATGCTTGTTGTTATGAATAATTCTGTAGAGGTACAGACTTATAACATTATCTGTTTATAAGTCATGCATACCAGCATAATAATCACACCCTTGCCCAGGGCAGAGGAGCAAGTTTAATCACCTTTTATCTGGCTGGTGTCTGTCCCTGGCAGATTACTCACAACTGTGTGCTGGGTAGCCTGTGCTGCAGCAGCAGAACGTGGTCACTCCTCCCAGGCACACGTTGTTATGAAAATCACATAAATCCCGTGGCCATACTGACCCCTTTGCTTAAACCCATTTCACAGAGCACACACAGGCTGCATTCCTTTAATGTGATGTTATTCAGTGAAAGCTGAGAAAACTGCGGGAGGATACGTGAGTGACTTGCGAGTCAGCAGGGTTTTCAAGGATTCCTGAGCTGCAACAGATACTGAAAACTTGTAAGTCTTATAGGCAAATGGCAGTGTCAGTTTTGCAACTGAGAGAAATTAGGACGAGGAATGTGTCGCTGTGGGATATAATGTGTTTTAGGCCCAGTAACTAACCCTTTCTAAATTATTTGATTTCTCCTTTTAAAGGCTCATATCTAATTCCCTCTTCTTCAATTGAACCAACCAGTTGTGCAAACCTAGGAAGCCTTTGCCAAGGTAAGAAACCCAGATCCTTTTCACAGTTTCATCTTTGGGAAATCTTTATTTGCCTCAGGGTTTTATTCCATTTCTTTTTTATTATTGTTTATAAGAGGGTGAGTGGCAATAAAAAATAGCAAGGAAAGGAATTCTTTAGTCTCATCAAGTATGTGGGTGTCCTGTTCGTACAATATGTGGAAAAAATGTGATCACTCCCATGATAATACATTTTCCAAATAGTCTCAATTATTTCAAAGCTGAATTAACTGACTGCTTTCATTTCTTTCTCCACTTCTTTTCCTCCTGCACAGTAAGGAGGAAATTTTCACAGTAAAATATTTTCACAGTTAATATTTTCACAGTAAAATATTAACCAGTATAAGTAGTAGGTAAATCTGTAAAAAAAACAACAAAAAAACCAGATGTAAATAAAGGAACTAGCTTTTATTCAGGGCTTTTTTTCAATAGGATATTTTATTTTGAGGCTAGATGCTTTGAGATTAGCAAGTATAAGAAAATTACCATCAGACTGCAAAATTCAGCAGCTTTTAGAGAAAGAAACACATGCTACAGCACTTAGTGAGGGATTAGTAATGAAAAAATGACCATATATAAAAATTCATTATGTGTTTTTAAAGGTCAGCTCAGTTGAATGTAAGGAATAGGTGAATCCTATAGATTTCCATGTCACATGAATCAATGGGCATGCAAGGATGATTCTGCTCAGATGCTGAATTTCCATAAAACGTTACCCCATTTCCACGATGCCTTCATGAACCCCGGCCTTACAATGTGTTGGCATGCTATGTTAAACTTTAATTACAGCAGCAACTGCACCAAAAATATCTAGCTTAGTAACCTCTTTCCAGGTGAATGGTGGAAGAAAGAGACAGGAGAAAATAAAATATAAGAGGAGAACAAGAAGTCTTAGAACTCTTTCAAAATCAATATTTTAAAGTAAATCAGATTTGGCTTAAAAGTAAAAGGGGAAATGCACTCTACTTGGAAAGCCAGTAAGACATCTATGTCAGTTTTCAGTGTACTTTTCCCAGATTTTCCTGAGGTAATTTGGTTCAGGTTCTTGGAGCATATTGTACTTGTCTCCTTGGGGAAAGTGAAATGCCATTAATGTCCATAATCAGATTTTAAACAGTAATTTTCAGGCATCATATTCACAAAGCAGAGTACAATCTAAATACTGCAACTCAAATAGTTTGGGTAAATGAGGCATCCACAATTATTCAATATTAGTCTTTTTGTATGTAAAGAGTATCGCTGTATAAATATCCTTGTCCATTCTTTTGGAAGATCTCTGAGTGGTTTTGTCCATTAAAATAGTATGGTATGGAAAGGAGAAAATATCTTTCATAACATCAGTGAATATGGCTACAGAAATGGACACATTTTCAGCCGAACAGGCCTGCTTTTCTAAAAACCTCATCCTTTGTCCCAGCTTTATTAACTTGTCTGGTAGATATTGCCTCTGATAAAAGATGCTGCCTTTCAAACTTGCCTTCGTAACTTCTTAGACCATCAATAAAGACTTCAATAAAGACTATGAGTATTTTCATGAAGGTAATATTCTTTCCTTCTCTAAAAAGTATTTGGTAATGTGTCTGTTGTGTTCAGTTTGTCACTTTGGAATAAGATGCCAGATCAGATTTATCCCTCTCAGCACCATCATAATTATTGTCATAATAATTAAAATCATAAAAATATGTCTTTCTATTTTCTGTCAATACCACAGACTTTGTCTAAACTGAGAGGCCAGTTTGGATTCCTTTGTTTGTTGGGTGTTGTGCAATAACATTAAAATAGTTTGTGGATGCCAGGTTATGTCAGCTATGTCTGATGAAAGAACTGATTTCTCTATTATGCTCAGTAAACATTTTTGTTCATTAGATGCCTCCTTTAGCAGCACTGGCTGTACGACACAATCTGTAAGAAAGTTTGTAAATTATTCCTCAGACAATGTAGTTCTGAAGTTTCATGGAAGAGCTTTTTTTATATATGTCAAGGTGTTACTTCATATGCCTACTTTCCCAGTTAGAATCTGTTTGTTCCAATGTCCAGCTTTTCCTTTTCTTTCCCTAATTTTTTTTAAACCTGAACATGAACCTGCTCCCTAAGCTGTGACAAGTTTGTTACTTTTGGACTCAAAAAGCTAGATAAATCAACCTAGCAAAACATAAAAAAATGTGATTTCTTGTACAAAATATAACTGCTTAAACTTCTTAGGTTGATTCTTCCAAAATCTTCCAAAGCCATGTAACACTGGGAGATTTTACCATACCAACCTTCAGATTTTAAATAAGGGTTTTCAGGAAAAAAATCTATCAGTGAATGGATTTGCATTCCATGGGAGTTATTGAACAAAACTAAATTATTTTCCAAACCATTATTTGAAAATTTAGTGGCATGATCTTTGAATTCTTCTAGCACATATACCCTCTGAGTCCATCGTGGGGGAAATTTGCAGGTTTGGCTCCTCCTTCTAATTTTGGAAAGTGTTCAGCTGGTTCTCCAGGATTTTGTGGAGTGACTCCTGTTGGTGTCAGTGGGAAGAGTGGAGCTGAGTTTCTACATAAAGCTTTCAAAATAGGTATTTTACTTCACCTGTTCCAAGCCTGATCTCAATTCTCTTCATTGTTTTGAGTTCAGTGGAGTTAATTGAATCCTTACATGAGTGTTTTAGTTTCTCATTTGTTTGTCATATTCAGTCTTTGAGGAGGGGCAAAGATTCTTTTCACAAGCAGCATTCTAAGTGCACGCATCTTAGAACTTCCCCATTTTCTGGTCTTTACACAACCAAGGCTCTAATGAGAGGATTTTGAGTTTATGAAAGGAGTGCAGGACTGATCCTGCAAAATTTACACTGGCAAAATTCCCACTGAAGTGAGTGCAAGTAAGGATTGTAGGACTGGGGCCTCAGTTCATATCTATTCATCACTTTGTACAGAAAAAAATAATGTGTTTTTTTAACATTTATGGCATTGTGTGTAGATGGTTTCATTTTACATTGTCATGCATTGTTCCCATTTTGTCTTACCTTATTAACATTCATATTTCATTCAAGTTCACCTCTTTCTCATCTTTATTACCAGCTACTGTAAATGCTACTACTCCTACACCACCCACTGTCACCACTAACATGCCCGATACTAATAGAAACGATAAGCCAAACAATGGTAAGAAATCCTGTGTTACATTTTTCCTTGTACTGTGTCTAAAGAAAATTTGTTGTATTTCTAGGTGTGTTTTTCCTACCATCATAATGTCAAGGGTCACGTCTCAGTTCTGATCTCATTTACACTGAATAAATCAGGATTAAATCTCTGGACCATGTCAGAATGGTGTAAATGAGAACAGAACCAAACTCAGTGTTTATTTGTTTCGTGTTTACCTGGCTCTTCTGTGAAAGGGACTAACTTTGTGTCACCCACTGCATTTAAGGATGCAAAGAACAAGGGAAGGGAGAGGGATGTTTGGAAACGGTCCAAAAAGAGCCGTGCTGTTGAAGGCTTTCAAGGCTGCAGATTGTCAGACATTGTGCAGCTCCTGCCTGTGCAGCCAGGGTGGTAGTAGGCTCGCATTGCCTGTTCCTCACTAGTTCCTCGCCGTTCCTCAGGCGCAGGAGCCAAGTGGAACCATTCCTATGGAGCAAAGCCACTTCCACTGAGTCAACAGAAATCTTTCCACTGACTTAAAGAAGAGCTGGATTGGACTTTACTAGGGAAAATGTTGACAGTATCAGATATCGTTTACTTTTCATTTAGAAAGATTAAGGGAAAAAATAAGGTAGTAAATGAACCTATTATTAGCACAGGAATAAAGCCAGGATTTCTTTTAAAGCTTTCTCAAATTCTGTGATATCACTGTCTCCTAAAGACTGAGCATCATTTTGTGAAGTGCTGCTAAAATATTTATTAGTTTGTTAAAGCGGGTTGTTAAACACAGAGATAGATTTTGCCAATTTTCATCACAGGCTTAAATGTATATTTTTTTAAGATTTATTTTTTCAGTGTACTCCACAGAAATAAATTTGAATCTGGGTGGGGTTTGTGGTTTGGTTTTTGGGTTGCTCTTTTTTTTGGTTGGGTGTTTTTTTTTCCCCAATCCATCAGTTGTTACTGCAGGATTTAAAACTCTTGAAGTATTTTTTCTCTTGGCAGATATTTATTGTACGCTGGCAATCAGGCAGTACAGTGCATAATGTGAAAGAATTTATCTGAATCCAGACTGTTTGGTTTTAATAAGCTGTAGAAGTAAGAAGAAAATATTGAAAATTTCTTCCAAGTAGTGTTTGCTTCTTCTTTGTGGAGCCACTCACAAGTGTTCACCATAAGCAGTTAATTCTGTTTTTTTTAATGACAGAATGAACTCAATCTTATTAATAGTATGAATAAAAAATTGACAATTAAGTCCTTTGTCTAGCTTTGAAAGTCCAGAGAAAAAGTAGGAAGACTATGAAAATAAGCCAAGTTCACTTATGGTAGAAGCAAATTAAACTTTCACTCAGCTAACAGGCATCATTTTCCACTCTTGGTAAGTTGATTTTTAGACCAAGAACAGAGAGTTAAGTTACATATATTTTCTTTAATCCATTAACTATGTGGCTTGCTACACACAGACCTGCAGGAATTCAGACTTCCTGCAACAGTTATCTTCAGAATGAAGAGAAATTCACCTGAATTTTCCCATTCACGACCACAGAGGCAGCAGGAATCTAAGATAGAAGGGATCAAAACAATAGGAATTATCTCAACCCCAATTATTTGGCCAGTGAAGCAAAGGCCCCTGAATTTCAGTAAAAATTCAGCAGATGATAACCCAGAGAGAAAAAGCCCATACAGCTTGTTCCTTCCAACTTTGTCCACACCATCTTCTTCTGAGGAGACCAGCAACAAAACCTTGTCTGCCTATACAGAAAACATCAGCCTAGGTTATACTGTAACGAATCAGTTGCCGAACGAAAATATTTTGAATTATTCTAGAAGTCCATTCCATGGTACTTCTGGTGCAGCTGATGCAGCTACAGAGCTGCCTGTGAATGCAGCAGTTCCTCTTCTTCACAGCAGAAATCCCAATGCAGAGCTAGCAAGGACTTTGGCAAGTAGGCTCCATCTTTCTGACTCTGAGCCACCGTTCCACTCTCCTGTTAGCAGCAGCAGCAGCAGCACTGCTTATGAACACAAAAATGAAGCTCTGTGGACTTCATCCTCCAACAGCGACACAAGCAATTTCATGCATACAAGCAATGTCTTGGAGCCTGTGAACTGGTGGAATGAGCCTGTATTTCATCATCATATCACCTCCGATATTCAAGGCAGACATCATTTTCTTTCTAGCATGTCTGTACCACCTACAGAGGAGAAGCCACCATTCCAAAAAAGTAGGTTAGATTTGCTAGACTTGGCACCTGAAAATTTTTACCTGGAAATGATAGAAGGCAGTGCTGACAGGAAAACATTTTCTACACTATCAGCAAACAGTGACTTTCAGTTTAGAAAATCTGTGCACATTAAGGACCATCACTCAGGAGGCGTTACAGATTTAACCTCTGTGGATATTCTACATGCAAAACCAACAAGTTTTTTTCAGAACATGCAAAAATCATACACAAAATTTATGCATGACAGCCAACTGACAAATTCAGTCCGAGGACACAGTAGAGAAGTATTAAAATTTTCATCATTTCTGGTAGAACCAGGCTGGACAAGCTCAGCATTTAAGCATGTTGTAACAACCCTGGCTGTTTATCAACAGCTGTTGACTGACACATATTTGAAAAGTGACAGCATGTTTATAATTAGTAGTAATTACTGGTCTCATTATTTACAGCATTCATTATATTTTCAAAATCCAAGTGAGACCCTCACAAATGGAGCACTGGAGAACAATTTGGATGCATTTCATGGTAGTAATGAAAATGAAGAGTCAGCTTTTTCCATATTGGAGCCAGAGAACATGAATCCAGTTGCTGACTCCTGGGACTCAGATTATTTGGATTTTCCAACAAAATATGTAGATATATCCCCCTCTTTAAGAGCAAGTTTCTGGACTGTTTCCCATCACTTGAAAGAATCATCTCAATTGTTTTCTGGGGAGCCATCAGAAAATTTCTGGCTCTCATTTAATAAACAGCTTTTTTCCCCAACAGAGAGGCTGCTGTCCATTAGTTTATATGCTAACTCTGACAGTACCTCTGAACAAACATCTGCCATTAGATTTTTAGGTCACAGAGCTGAAGAAATTAATTTTTCTAGTCATGTATCAATTTTGGAAACGCAAATCTTTAGTTCATTTATTCCAGGCTTTTCAAAGAGAATTTCAGAAAGTAATGGTTGGTCAATATCACAATTGCAGTCAACAATGAGCTTTGCAAACCTAACTGTGACTTCCAACAGTGAATTTTATTTTGATTTTCCTTTTCCTTCCCTGGAAGCACCTTCCATTCAATCCTCTGTATGGGCACAGGTAAGCCCTTTTGATCAGGTACTTGAAAACTCTGCAGATAGTTTGCACATGCAAATTCAAACTGACATAGTAAGTGATCAAACTGACATGACTTTCCTAAACAATAGGCATCAGCCTGTTCCTGTCTTGCCAACACATTCAGGAACTCAGCCTTCTGGTTCAAGGGATAGCCAAGCTCCTTTCTTGATCAGTACATCTGGGACTCAGGTTACTTGGAGAGTTAAGAGTTCAACAAGCAGTACAAGAACACACAAAACACAGCAGTCTCAAAGTCTTCTGGAGAATGATGCTATAACAAATACCATCGATAAACCAAGTAAAGTTCAAAAAGATGCAGGTATTTTTTTAAAAAGCGTCAATTCAATGAGTTCTGAATTTTTTTCAGTGTCTTTGGAATTAAGGCAATTTCTTCATTCAGAGTCCGAATTCAGAGACAGTGTAATTCCTAACACCTATTCCACACCTCCACTCCCAAAAAGTTTTCAAAATCATCTTGACACAATTTCTCCAAGCTTGCTCCCTCAGTGGGATGTCGAAGAGTTAAACTTGCCAACAACAGAAACACCGAGAAATTATCTAACTGTTTTAGGACAAAAGTCCATTGAAAATCAAGCGGACAGTCCAAAATACTCTCTCTGGGCAGTAGAACAAGAAATCATTGACAATGATAAAGACATAAGGGATTTTGCTGTTCTGACATCAACAAACATACTGAGGCTTTCTGAATGGAATTCAGAGGGGGAGGTGTATGGACCCTTTAGCTGGAACAGAGAAGCAATATCTATCATTACTGCTAATGCCTTGGCTTTTGAAAATGCTGATTATGAACATCTTGCAAATCTCTCTTCTGTTCTGGAGTCATCAAGACCTGCAATAATGAATGATGTCGTACCTTTGTCATCTTCCTATAGCAAAGTTTTTATTCAGTACAAAGAGACCATCTTGACAGGCACTCTGACAAGAGCTGCAGCAGCCATCCATCACTCTCCTGTGCAGATCCAAACATCACTTTCTTCTGTGACATACCATGAGTCATCAGTTTCAGCCCATGTTCATTCCTTGGCCAATTTACCATCTGGGACAAGCCAAAACAGCACCTCTTATCCACCACTGAAACAACTTACTAGCTCTGCTGCAGTCCTTTTGCCTTGTTTGTGTGACTTCTTCACTGAGCTGGGCTGCCTGTGTCGACCTGAGTTCCACTACAGTATGTCAAGCTGTTAAGTTAGATGTAGAAAAAACCCCAGATCACCTTATCTATTAGATATTCAGTTTGTAGAGTGAATGTAGAAGTAGCTGTCTTTCGTCCTTTAGATGTAGGACCATTTAGCATATGAAGATGTTTTGGCATAATAATATAATTACAGTAGAAGGGAGTTTGTAATATCTTAGTGATAGTAAATGTCATTAATGTGTGATTTCTCATAATTGTGTTCTTCTCTAAGACAGCTCTCACGAGACTGTGAGGATAATCTACTGGTTTCCATGTATTTTATATGACTTAATGACAATTTATTTTTGGGGAGTATATCAATGTTTTTTACTGACATATTTTTGAGGATTTTACTTTCAAAAATAGAAGATTTTTCAAAACTAAGTGTTTGAATAATTTTCCTATTAGAATTCTTTAAAATACTCACATTTGATTGATCATTATATTTTTGTAGTTGGTGGTGGGTGTAGGAGCATTTTTTCCAGGCTATTTTTTCCTGTTTTTTCAAATTTTCTTTGGCTACTTTTCACCAATTTTATATTATCTTTTTTTTTTGTTTTCATTCAGCATTTTGGGGAGGGATTTCAACTGTTTAATTTGAAGAGGGATAAATAAGTTTTAGTTTTTACTATCTACTTTACAGTCTCCTGAGAGTATTTTAAAATGCAGATTACTTCTTGTTCTTTATTTTTTTGCCTCATTAAAACATGCTTTGGGTCACCATCTGGTGGAGATCTTAAATCTATCGCCTAGTTTGTAGTTACTGTGTATGATTTTTAAAATACTTTGCATATTCCTATATTAAGGTGATTTTATCACTATACATAATTATCTAAGGTTATAATTAGATATATAATTACATATGAGTTTTTAAGTATCTAATGCACATTTTCTGTACGTATGTATCTGTATGGCACATATAAAAGTTACATTATAGATTTAAAATTGAATATGTGTTTAAACAGAGATAAAAACACACAAAGGACATCTAGGTATCGCCAGTGTTTTCAATTTGCCCAAAGTCCAAATTTCTACTTCCAAAGACATAATTTTTATATTTTTTTTTAACTATCACTAATAATAAAGCACATTTTCAGATTAAACTATGCACCAAATTTGTGTGCCTCCTCAGGAGAGTTAAAAAAGACAGTAAATCAAAACAAAGTTTGTTCTGCTCATATCATAAATTTAATCATAGCTTACCAAAGAAGGTGTCTAGTAAACCATCTTCTTTACTGTTTATCGTAAAGGAATTTTTTTACCAATCTTAATATTCATATAATTAATTCCATATTGTAAAGAAAGAACAATTCTCCAACCATTTCATGAATAGTAACCAATGCATGCACACTTAAATTGGAAAATACTCATGTCAAATTTTTTCCAGGTGCCTTTACTTCAAGCTCTTGTACAGTAATTATCTATGAAGTTGTAAAATTACGACATTTGCTCTACTTAGAATAAAAGGTCTTTTATTTAGTTTCCAAAAGATAGAGCAATTCCTTTTCAATCTGAGACAGAAAGGGATTTCTGTATAATTATTTTCACGTCCTGCTCTGTCCTATGTAGTGTCTCTGTAAGATTTACATAAGATTATATAAATGCATGTATCTGTGATCAAGACCCACAGCCTTGGTAACAGCCCAAAACCAAGCAATGCCACAAATGCACATAAATGCAAGTGAATTGATCCAGAAGTTCTTAAACCTCCCCCACATCCTGGGAACTTTCACCCAACTAGAGCTTACAGAATATTTAGTAGCTTAATGAAAAAAAATAGGCTTGTGGAAAGTACAGACTTTTAACACAGAGCATAACTATGAAATGAATTGATGTTATTTATTAGATGTGAAATCTTGTAATGCTGCCTACCCACTCATGAGCTTAAAGAGAATTTATATTTACACTGTGCCATTTCAAAACAGTTTTCTGAATATAAAATTGCACCAAGCCAAGTGTTACACATTTTGTGACTGAAAGATGGTTTGTTCAGCTGCCAGTTTTGTAAAGCTAATATGGGTTCTTCTACTGTCTGGCCATTGCCAGGCCCCAGAGCAAGCCTGTACTTTGGAAACAAGAGCTCTATATCCCTTCTCACACCTAATTCTGTCCTCGTTACCTTGCTACATTTAATTGATGAGCTTTATTTGCTCTCACAATATTTAAATTGTGAGAGCAAATAAATTGTGTAAACTCCAATCTGCAGTAGTTCAATTCTGGAACATATAACAATATTATAACAATATGCCTAGGAGCAGAATTTATCTATGTTTACAGACTTCATTAATTATAATAGTTGTTAAAATTCCTTACACTGTCATGAACTTAATTTTACACACCACATTAGAGGCATATGCAAAATACTATTCAGATGTATGTTGTCTGTGAGTTTCCATGTCACTTTTCAAGTGCCTCTGAAAATATGGAGGGGAAGGGAATTCTTGTCAAAATCAACAGGACTAGCGAGAATGGGCCCAAACCTGCAGGGTTTATTCATTTCAGAGATTAAATGACAACGAGAGTGTGAGGTGGCCTTGTATCTGGGGTTTAGCACAATTTTTATATTAATCATGAAGCTAAAATCTCATTATTAAAAAGCTAAATTTGCTCAGTTTCTGACATTATGGTGCTGTTTTTAATGGACAGGTGGGCTATTCTACAGGATATCAATAGTTGTCTCTAGTTCCAACCCCAACTCAGTGGCAAAAGTACATGATGTCGTTGCAGAATGGGTAAGTTTTCTTTCCTATGTGATTACATATATGAATCTGTCCCATCACTGTTATCAGTTGGAAAAAAAAAAGAAAAAAGAGACTACCCAAAAAACTCCTCACATGTGTTCTCCAAATATCTTTCTTTTATTTATTTGTGCAGTAATAAATTCAGGTCTAGCTGGGGCTCTTCAGCACTATGGATTAAATTTAAAATGTCTGCACTATACTAGCTAGCTTCCTAAGAAATGTAGATAGTAAGTGAGATTTTGGCAAGTATGGAGAAATCAGAATTGTCCACAAAAAGAGGTACATGTCTGGGTTCAAACATCACTATACAGTACAAAAACTTTCTCCCCGAGTGCTAATATGGTTTTGAAGCTATATTATGGCAGAAATCATAGAAACACCCAGCAGTGTTGATTTGTGTGAAGCAATAAACTTTTCCAATTTATCCTTATGTTTGCTACATCAAAAGGTTTCTGCCATAAGTCAGCTGCTGAGGTATCTAGTAGTCCCTGGTTTTTCAGCCCATTTTAGCAGATATAAGCTTGTCTCTGGGTGAGGGATTTTTGATGTTGTTGCCTCTAGAAGTTCTTCTTGTCTGAATATTCTCTGTCCTTTTCGGCAGTTCACACAGTCCCACTCACACAGTTTGTAAAACCTTTATACCAACTACTAGTGTGAATATACAACATCATTAAATATAACAACTATTCTTTTTTTTTTTCATTTAAAAAACCTGGAGATTTCAGCTATCAGAACCCATAAGTCCGAATATATATATATATGTATATATATATTTTCTGTTCTGTAGATTATTTTATATGTATATATATATATATATATATATATATAATAATCTACAGAACAGAATTGCAGTCATGCACACCTGCCGAGGCTGTTCCCTTAGCAGCAGTATCCAGGCAAAGTACATAGGTGCCTGAGCCAAAGTAACTAGAAAGGTGTAAGAGCATGCAAAGGTGTCTCTTGGAGGAAAATAGAGCAGCTGTTGAACACTCAGAATAAAGAGTACAAAGGTCTGAAAAGAACATCATTGTAAGTTTAAAGACTTTCAGGTGAAAATTTAGCCAATAGCTTTTTCAGTAAATCTGTTCTATTCAAAGTGTATAAATCTGAGGATTTAAGATGGGGAAAAGCGGGAGAGAAGGAAAAGGTCAGGATCCTGTGCACTCACCTGTTCACTCTGGCGTGACCTCATACAGATTTCCTCCTGTCCAAAAAAAAGCCACATCTCTCACTACCAGTTGTACAACAGTCACCTCACTGAAAAGTGAGTGTTCTCGTTGCTTTGCAAAACTGAAGGGGATTTCTCAAGGGGCAGAAGGGTGAAATTCTAACACAGCTTTAAGCAACAAAGAGCCCCATTAACATCTCACCATTCATGTGATCAATGTCTTCCTGTTTTTCAGCTGAACCGTACTTTCCAGAACTGGAATTACACTGTGTATGTCGTCAATATCAGGTAAATTAAGGAGAAAGATATTTATGCTGTATTCCTTTGGAGAATTATTCCACCCTAATTAATGTCTATTTCTTTCATAGCATCCACCCTGCCTCCATAAGAGAGGGAGCAAGACAAAAAAGAAGTATTAAAAGGTAATATTTTGAAAGACATTTTCTCAATAGAGGCAACAGCTGCTTTTTCAAGTGGCTTTACAACAGGCTTTATTGTCTATTATTGGATTTGTTGTCTATTATTTGGCAGACGCTGCAGGTCTCTAAATACATGACTGCTGGCAATCTCAGTGTTCTGAAGTTTCTTAGAAACCTAATAGTGGTTATCATGTTTGTTTTGGTTTAAACCTATCACACTTTAAACCCTAACAGATAATTTGTTCAGAACTCAGGTTTCATCTGTCACAAAACTGAATTGATACAGGATATTTAAGTTGTACAACACACCCAGCTTTCTTTAGCAACAAGCAATGGTACACTGGTATCTGTCCACTGTCTCTGCATTTGTTCTCTTGAACCAGACACTCTTGAGTTAATAGACATCTTACTAGATGGAAAACATTGAAAAATCATGCTAGAATTGAAAGCTAAACGAGTGTGAGTTAAACTATTTACCATATGCTCTCATTTCCTGACTACTGCTGGGCTTGGAGGCGCTGGAGTTGGAACGACCTCAAAGGCAGCCAGAGAAAGTGAGATGGGTCAACCCCCTGAAAATTTGGACTCCAAGGGCTTCTTTGAAAGCAGCAGGCTGATTTCTGAGGGATGTCTGGAGAGGGTGGGAATCTTAGGACCTAATTAAGGAGAGGAAACCAAAATATAATTAGTCTTCTGAGGATGGGGCAATAAGTGGGTATGGGATGTATGTGTTTGAAGTGTAGGCAAAAATCCTGTTAAGAATTTTAACTGCTGACTCTTGAGAACTGCCATGATAATATCATTTTAATATCAGACCAATATTCCCAATTTACCATCAGGAAGTAGTTAGTGGTGCTTCTAGTTTGCAAGAGTTTGCCTAGACATGAAAATATCTGTAGAAAGGTAGTATCTCCTTCCCACATAGCCACAGCAGAAAGACAGCTTTTATTGGCAAAACCTTTTAACTGGTACACTGTAAGCCCAGTCTCTGAATGGGCTATTTTGCTGCTTGACCTACATTTACAGTAGGGTGTAGTGATGTGGGTAGGATTTTTTTTCACACTTCTAAATGATATGGTTATGCCAGCAAGGCCTTTCAAGTGGAGACCACACCTCGGGTCTTACCAACAATCCAAGACTACTGAGGAATGTAAAGCTTTCCCATCCTTATTCCTGTATCTTTTTATGAGTCTAGCAGCTGAGCTGTACACCTGATTTCTTCTTGTCTCACTTTCCCCCCATCCTGACCTCTGTTTTTTTTTCTTCTCTCTAGTCTACTCAAAAAGAAACATTGAAGAGGCAGAAACTATTTTAGTAATTTCCCTTCCCTTCCCTTCCCTTCCCTTCCCTTCCCTTCCCTTCCCTTCCCTTCCCTTCCCTTCCCTTCCCTTCCCTTCCCTTTCCCTCCCTTCTTTACATACAGTGAATATGCCACTAAATTACTTCTCATAATGTATTACTCTTATGGGGAAGTAGCCCCATCTCTATTTCTTTTGTTCATTATATGTAATTTCAGAGGCAATGGAATTACCTGTTCATAATATGTCATTTTTCAAGCAAGGCCTTGTCTAATGAGAAACTAGTCTTCTCATGGGCTCTAGCACAATTTGTGTCAAGGTCAAATGGCATTTTTTCATCATTCTGAATAATTTAGTATAAATGCTGGTCATGTCACACCAAATTTTAATGTTCTCCAAATAATCAGGAGTGTCATGCTGTGAATGTCATGTTAAGAAAACAAAACAAAACAAAATAAAAGAACAAGTCAGGATCCTGCTCAGCCTATAAATGCAGATGGGATAAAGCAAGGATATTTAAAAATTTAAGTGAGGTACATGATACATGACTAAAAAAAATTACATTTTTTACACACTGTGTATGTACTCACACATATATAGAAATATATGTACACATGATTTTCTGCCTTTTTTCATATAGCTTTCATGTCTTGAACACATTTTCATGCATCATTTACCTCTTACAGAAGACACATTTGAAAAAAATTGGTTGAAGCATCTTTAGGTTTTCTGTGTATATATCTATGATTGTACATCCCTCCCTTCTGAAACCAAAAAAGGATTAGCTTCCCAGAAGTCTTCAGTGTTCCTGGGTTTAGTTACCGCTTCCTTGCTTCTCTGAGGCTCACACATCTGTTTCTGAATTTTGTGGGGAAGAAATATGTTGAATTTTTGAAGATCCATAAAGCAAACCTTTTTTCCTACTGCTTCCGGATAATTCTTGTCAAGATTCTTTGTTAGACTTTCCTTGGATTTTTCCTGGATAGGATTCTTAGGAAACCCTACAAGATGCTAGGGTCACACTTGAGAGTGTAGAAGATTAGCAGTGTAGAGGGTAGAAATTCTAAATACCTGGTGGAAGTAATGGTAATTCCTGACTGCCTAGGCAATTCACTGAAATGTTATGGCTGAATTCTTGAACATAACTCACTCACAGTGTGATTTCATGCAGTTACTATTAATTTAATGTTCCTATAAATTTTTTCTGCAGAAAGTTGCCCAAATATTTTCTTATTTCTTCATTTTGGATAGTCAAGGATAAGTCTGTTGCAGTCTTAGACATTCTACTACTTCCCTTAGTTTTTAAGTACTTCTTGTTCTATTTACCTTCATGTTCATCTAAACAGAAATTCACTCCACAGTTAAAATTTAAGACTTAACAGAGAAATATTATGGCCTTAACTTTATCTTTTACAGAAGTGAATATTTTAGTCTTAACTCTTAACTCACTAAGCCTTATTTCTCTTTTCTGAATTTTCTACAAGATCATAGCCTTCTTTTTTCCAAGGCAGTATAAGAATTCTTAAAATTGTTATTTGAGAAGGTTTTTCCTCTCTTTACATGAATTCATATTCTTGTAATTCAGATCACATATTTTTTGCATTCCTTTTGGATTAATATTTTATACTGCAGTTTAAAAAAAACCCAAAACCAACAAAACAACATCCCCAAGCCTGTTCTATGCATTTTGCTTTGCTCCACCTGTATTTACCACACTGCTTCCTCATCAAGGAAGATCCATAAAGCTGAGAGAGCTGAGATCCATAAAGCTGGGAGAGCCGTCACTCTCCCCACCTAGTGTTCTTGCATGTGAAAGAGGAAAAATCGTTAGAGAGAATGATTCAGAGAAGAAATAGTAGCTGGAAGTGGGAGGTAGGAAGCTGGCTTTTTTTGTCACATTAAAAATAGGTGTTTTCCGAAAAAAATATTTTAACCTACTGCATTCTGGAGAAGAGCAAAACAAAACAAAATTATTGAAGTGGATTGTTGCTCTTTCATTGCTGTGTTGTATGAGCTGCAGAAATCCAAAGTACACCATGCTTGCTAGGTGTTTATGTGCCCAGTGATGAGAGACAGAGTGCCAAGTCCAAAAGTGCATATTATTATCAGCACCTCTAATACTGTGACATCTCTGGATGACAGCAGTATGTATCAAGATAATACTTTGGTAGATTATTAACTACTTTAATAGACAGAGTCTTATAAAAGCTATATTTGGCTTTATGTCAATGTTCAATTTTTCCCCTGGTTGTACAGTTTCTGCCTCTTAATGAAAGGGCAGCTGTTCAAAATAGACAGGAGATCAGCATGAGCTATGGATATAGCTATTTCTTTGTCCCCATTAAGTTTGCACAAACCTTTGAAAATTAAACCAATTTGTGGATTTTATCCAAGTGAACCAATTTTGTAGATAAACTATAAATGTGTTTGTTTCTTTCATTAATTCTTTGCCTTTTATGACTCTGCAACTTTGTCAAAACTTCCTGTGACTGCTGCTGCTGCTTTTCTCAGAAAAAGAAATAAATATCCTAGGTTTTGTCAGATGACTACATAGGGCTGCCTCACAGTAGGGGAAATGGTCTTTATTAAAGAGTTCAGCTCCTTTGCTTCTCCTTTCTTCTCTTATTTTGCAAGCAGTTTTGAGAATTCAGGCCCTAATTAATTTATGAATTTTTCTCCACTTAACATACAGTAAGTTTATGCTTGTTCCAATATCACTGCTTGATTGTCATAATTTTGGCCTATTTCCAGTGTTGGGTTGCTCCTTCTATGGGAAACGTTATTAATGTTAGTACTGTTAAACATCTCATCCAAATTAAAAACCACAGTGGTAGCCATCTGCGTAAAAACTACTAAATCTAAACAGAAATCCCTTGTCTTGGAAATGAAAATAGAGAGGAAAGCAGTTAATCAGAGCTATCCATGCCCAGTCTTGTTCTTTTGAAGTCTGTGGGAGTTTTGCCACCAGTGTTAGTGAGGCATATTCAGGCTCCTGCATGCTGTGTTCTTGGGTCTTGTTTTGCTTAATGGAAAGTGTAATGCACTTGGATAAAATGTTAATTAGATTGTGTAATAGTTTTAGACAAGAGGTAGCAATACTAGAACAACATAACTTTTGGTTTTCTAGTCCTAAGTAAAGTACTAAGTAAAGTACTGGCTTTTTGCATTCTTTGTAGATTACTTCAATTTATTTTTTATTAAATAACTTTGCTATTCTTGTTATAAATGAATATATCTGTGATGGCTGTTCCTATTTCAAAAGTTTTCTGGGTTTCTACCGGTGAGGTTTTATGAAGGATTTGGACCTGGCCCTCCTCTACTCCACACAACTTCAACTTCAGTGTTACTGAAGGTAGTAAGGGACAGCCTTAACTCGGGCTGAGAAATATTTTAAAATGCTGCATGACATGTGCATTATATGTAATATTTCTGTTTGAAAAACCAACCAAAAAAGAACAAGTGAAAATCCCCAAGTTTCTCCACAGTGCCCCGTTGGCATCTTTTGTCCATGACCTGTGAAGAAAGCCTTCATCACAGATTCAAGAATTTGGGATTTCCTTTTGAGTGACTGAAGGATGGTACCTTCTTAGTCTCCTGCTGAAGCTTCCTGCCCTTTTCCAGCTTCCAATGACTTATTTTGTCTTTCCACTGACTTTAACTAGATTTAGTGAAGATCTGACATTGTTAGATGCCATTTTTAGAAAAGCAGTGTATTGGGGAATAGGGAATAGGGTTTTCTTCATTGTTCCAGAACATAGTGCAAGTGTAGCCAAAAACCCATTTCAGCAAAGACCAGCTGTTCCATATGAGGGATTCCAGTCCTTTCTGGTTTGACTTTGCAACATTCTCTTGTAATGAATAGCCTTCATACCAAATTATCACATATTAAAAGTGCTTTCTGTTGAAAGGCTGTAGTTGATTGTATTCCCACACCAGATCTGCAAGGAGGAGCAAGACCCAGAGACACAAGCCAAGGCATGAGGCGTGACCATGGTGCTTGCAAAATTCTTCTGCTACAATGGTCATTAACTTAAAAGGAAGGCTTAGGATGCTTTTATTTTTAGTAGTCCAAAAAGTAGCTGCAATTTTTAGTTTTGTGTCATGAAGTCTCAGATTTTATATTCTAACTATAACATCACCTTCTCCAGGGAAAGGAAACTCTTTATCCTTGACATTTCTTTGAATGTGTCTGTTAAGTCATATTTTTTTTTGCTCTCTGTTTTGAACACTTTAATGTGTTGCAGTCAAAATCACCTCAAGTAAAAGATTATTTGCAACTCAGATGCTTCTGTGGAATTCTTTTAGTTTTCCTCTGTTTTCAAACTTATTTCTGTCTTACTCTGTGAGTTTTCTAACATTTCATCTGCTCTTTGTATTGCATCTTCACTGAGTGACTTATGAAACAGGCAGCTCTTTTTTGTCTGTCCAGTTAATGTGAAGCAGTTAAAACTGTTACTGTCATATTTTCTGGAAAAGTCCCTTTGCTCGGGATTTCTCTCCTGGGAAGCTGAGAAGCCTCAGAAAGAAAAGAAAACAATAATTATCTCATTGCTTTGCCTGTGTTTTGCTGCTTTAAAATGTATTTGGAGATTGTTTATCCAACAGGTGGTTGTTTCATTAGTTTCACATGAATTGTTTTAACTTAATAACCAACCGCAGTCAAGCTGTGTCCAAACTCTAGAAAGAGTCATGAGTTTTCATTATTGTCTTTTAACCTTCTGTAAATATCCTTGCTCTATTGTTTAGTATAGTTTAATATAATATTCTTTAATATAATATAGTATCATAAAATAATAAATTAACCTTCTAAAAACATAAAGTCAAATTCATAATTTCCTTTCTCTATCTAAAAAACCCCACAAATATGAAATAAAACCTCACAAGTGACTCTGCAGGCCTACCTGTGTGGCTAGTCTTCAGTTATAGCTATCCATCACCACTTATCTTCAGAGACAACATAACCATGAGATTAGTAAAGAATTTAATGTTGACATTTGAAAACTATTTAAAAAATGCCAGGGTAGTCAGCTCTGAAATTCCCAGGACTTTTAGTGGAAATTAAGATTCCGCAAGTACTGCGTTTCTTTAAAAATAGTTGTTTATATTCTTTAAATCAAGTTATACTAACTCTGAAGGAAATTACCAGTGACTTGTGAAACAGTTCAACAACAGTAATTCCATATTAGTTCAGCCTGTCTAGTACAACAGAAAGGACAAATGTGCATTGCTAATTATCAGCTGCATCTCTCCAGGTGCAAGGCAGCCTGTGCTGCAGGGCTCGTGTGGTTTGTTAATCCTTCCTCCGGGCTCCTCGCAGGGCGCAGCAGCGTAACCACAGCCCGTGTGTAGGCACACTGTCCTGGAATAGCTCTGAGTCACGCTGCCGGAGAAGAAAGCTGGCTTTGTGGCCCAGGCCATGGCAGCTCAGGCTCCACCACTGCCTCCTGTGCCTCTGATGAGGATGCAGCTTCATAAATTGCTCTCTGAGCCAGCATAGCTTAACAGACCAGGACAAAGTGGGATAGACACTGGTCTTCCCAAGCTTTCCTGCTTGCTCCAGCTGTCACCATTTCAGTCAAAGAGAAGAGAAACATACTAATCCCTGTTGTGTTTAACTACACCACTGTTCATTTTTTAAAATTATATTGATGGCAGTAATGTTGGCAGTGCAGGTTACTATAGAGGGTGTGGAATTTGTAATTGATTACTGCTGTGAGAATCTATCTGCCTTTATATGTCACACAATGAAAGATTTAAAGTTGGGTGTAGCTAATCCAGTGACACGAGCAGAGCATGGCAGCGTTGCCATTTATTTGAATGCTGGCCTTGAGAATTTGGTCTTCACCATTATAATGTTTTCTTTCTGGGATCTGAGTGTGACAAAAGTGGAAGGAAGCACTGAACTTCATGTTGCGTCAGCTGTCAAGTTACAAAGTATTTATTTAGTCTGGGAAGCTAGCATGAGTCATTCTAAAAAGTTTGTGGAAATTGTTTTCATCATATTATGGAGTAGGCTCTTATTATACGGTATACATGACCTGTGCTTTAAGAGTTTCTCAGAAAACAACAGATTGGTTTAAGGGATTCTTTTTGCCAGTGCTTCACAATCAATACTTTTCTCTGTAATTTTTCAATATAACTGCAACTAGTTCTACCTCATCTATCATTATCCCTTCTATTTTGTTGGCATTGTCCTTCCTCACAGGTATGGATACTAAATATCATTTTGGTTAGTTGGGAATCCTGAAACAGGCAGCTAAGCAGTAGTGGTGACTGTTCAGAATGTCTGTTCTGCAGCCAGAGTGCTGAGGTAGGGAGTGGCATCAGTATATTAAGTTTTCCTCTCCTGAAGTAAAGGGAATAGATGACTGAAGCCAGAATCTTTTAGGAAAGATGGTTAAATGCCAGGAGACTCTGGGGCTGAAGTACTGGAGGGCTGAAGGAATTGGCAGTCCTGTAGGCAATTTCCATTCTTCTAAAAATAAATGTTGTAATAAATTTGTGCTTGTAACATATCTGAGGTATACAGAAAAAGCCTGCTAATGCATATCCACCCTACTGAGGCTATTTGCCATATAGATGTTAAACACCCCACAGAGACCAAAGCAATGTTAGGAGGAACTCAGTATCTCTGGGAGCAGGAAAGGAGAGACCTGGCCTGAGATAGCTGGAATTTCTCTGCTAAAATACATCCACTGGGAAAGGAGAAAGCCGAGCCTGCAGGTGGTCACATTTTTATCTTTCTTCTACAGCAACATGTAACCAGTAAAGCAGTGAATATGTCAAGAAAATTAGACACATCAGTAAAGTGAGGTTATGAGCTGTCATCATGGGGATGTCTTTCTGAAAGACTTTTTTAGTTGAAGTCCTGGTCTGTCTAGGAAGGACTACCTGAAAACCATACTGGCCCTCTTCAGCACCTCTACAGATTTTTTTCTGCTACTCTTCTTCCCATAGTCCACAAGCCCCTTTAGCTCACTGTTGCTTTCTTGTGGCACAGGGGGCCACAGGTGAAAGCCCCCCTGATGGGTGTGTGCCCAGCTCACTGTATGTGTGTGCTGGCAGTGCCACTGCTCCCCAGGCTGCCAGGAACAGCTCACACACTCCAAAGGTCTGTCTTTATTCAGGCTGATGGGTATCCAAAGGCAAGGCTAAGATGAAGACAGCCCAAAGCATGTTTGCTTTTTCCTTTTTTCCACATTTTGGCCTCCATGGACATCCAATGTTCCATGCTTTAGAGGCTTACCTCCTACTAGCCAGAGCCAAGTAATGCTCTTGGGTACCAACATATTCTCATCTCCAACAGTTCCTTTTGTCCCAGGAGGAAATTTCTGTGCCTTACACTCTGGGCTTATTTCCTGTGTCCTGCTAGAACTGGTTTGCTGTTCATTATTTCCCTTCCAGAAAAGCAATGTTTTTGGACAAGGGTGGGGCCTGTTTTATTTTGTTTGCGGGAAAGAGTCTTGGGCACTTTGAACTACTTCTGATGTCCAAGAAAGTAGCAGTGGGCTACAATACAGAAACAGCTATTAGTGCTCAAACTTCGATTAGTCATCTGAGGAACTCGACTTTCCTAATTATGACTAAAAGCTTCAGAAGTATGTCAGGGTGTTTTTCACTCCTTAAAAAAACTTAAGAGATTTAAATGTTAGGCATCTGTTCTTTGTTAACCTCCTAGTCTTTCTCTGTATTCCAGAGGTGGATCCTCTGAAAGATGACTTGTCCCACCCTGACAAGTTTTGTGAGGTGGGATGAATCAGCTCTTAAGTTCCTAAGCCATTAGCAACCAGATGTTTAAAATTAATTAGGGCCCATTTAGAATTTACAACTCTATGGTTTCATCTTCTGAACTCTTCTGAAAACATTTTTTAGCTCTTTTGATGAGATGCTTTTTAAAGGTAACGAGGAGATGAAATTTCCCAGCCGTATTTTCTTGTCATGGTCCTATATATACAAAAGTATTAATTTACAGATAATGAGCAACACTGTTTTGGTGACACTGTTCCATACTCAGAAAACCAGGGTTTGTAAGATATTTTTATTTCCACACATTTGGCCTCTGCTCTCCTGACTGAAACACTTGGATAATTTTCTTTGCAGTTTCAGTGCTTTGGCTCTTCTGGTTTATAATTCTACCAACAATATCAATTTAGAAGAGGAGGACATCCGACAGAAGCTCATAAGTAATAATCGAACCATGGAAGAGGGATATCAACTTCATACTGTGGATGTTGATCCAGTGGGTGAGTAGTGTTCAGCTTTGTTACACAACAAATTTTTTTTTTTTGCTTGTTCATAAATAAACGTCTTCTATGTCAAAATAATCACATATTTCCAAACAGTATGATGGTTTCAGATTTTAAATTGCCCCTATAAACCTAGTTGTTCCACTAATCTCAAAGAGCCATGCTCAAAATACCACTTTTAATGCAAACAAAGTTGTCCAAATTGCTTTAGTCAATGTCTTGCTGTCTGGTTAAAAGAGGCTTGGAGGTTCCTGACAGCTCCTCTGGTGGTTTGAGGATAACAAAATATGCGTTACAGCCAGAGCTAAAATGAGGCATTTTGGACCTCTAAGGCCCCTCATCCCCACTTCTCAATGGTGTTTGTATTTCGGACTACAGTTGCCCTTAATCAATCTTCTTTTAGATCTAATCTCTTCCCATTCAGCTTCTAGCAAAGATTGCCCTTCCTTTGGAAGGGAGGAGGTGGAGGCTGCTGGAGTGCATGGATGCAGCAGACACATTTAAGTCTTGCCTTTGAGCAGCAGCAGCGTGGATGATTCCCTATTGTGCACCCCTCTACTGCCACTCTATTGCAACAACCAAGCATTTCATTTTAAGACAATTTTGTGCTGTAGGCTGGTTGATGAGCTGAGGACAATAAATGGAAGATGATTAGGTGAAGAAATTTGCTGTTAACACCGATATACTAATTTTTACAGAAAAATGTTTAGCTGAAGAAAACCCTCCAAACTATTTTTGGCCAGATACCAGGCCTACTGTGACCAACTTCACATATTGCCACGGGAGCTCAGTTCAGACTGCATCAAGAACCTGGTAGGTGTTCAAATATCTGAGAAGCTGAGTTGTTTCTCATGCAACTTTCTGGTTATACATAGTTATTATTTTGTTATATATAATGGTTGTCATTGGCTAGTATTGTATTTCAGGAAGATTTTTTCTATACCATGAGAGATTAGGGAGGTGCAGTAATATTTTGTATTTCATTGATAAGAAAAATCTAATCTACCACTTTGTAGGGCATATTGGGGCCCACAATTAGTACATGTTCAACATGACTACAAAAATAAAGTCTTCTTCTTACAGAATGAAACTGTTTTACTCAAGTCACAGAATCATAGAATGGGTTCAGGTTGGAAGGGAGCATAAAGATCTACTAGTTCCAAACTCCCCTGCCATGGGCAGGGACACTTCCCACTAGACCAAGTTGCTCAGAGCCCCATCCATCCTGGCCTGGAACTCTTCCAAGCATGGGGCATCCACAACCTCTCTGGACAACCTGTGCCAGTGCCTCACTACCCTCAAAGTAAAAAAATTTCTTTCTAATATCTGGTTGAAACCTAATCTCTTTCAGTTTAAAACCATTTTCCATTTTCTGGTCACTACATGCTCTTGTAAAAAGTCCCTGTCCAGCACCCTTTAGGTGCTGGAAATGCCCCAGAGCTTTCTCTTCTCCAGGATGAACAACCCCAACTCTCTCAGGTTCTTTACAGGAGAGGTGCTCCAGCCCTCTGATCATTTTTGTGGACCTCCTTTGGACTTGATCCAGCAAGTACACATTTTTCTTATCTTGCAGGCTCCAGAGATGTATGCAGCTGCATGCAACCAGGATGTGGTTGGCTTTCTGGGCTGCATCTTCCACCACCATCCCCAAGTCCTTCTCTTCAGGGCTGCGTTTAATCCCTTTTCCTCCCAGGTCTCCAATTGTCCTTGAGATTGCCCTGACTTGCATGCAGGACCTTGCACTTGGCCGTGACCTTTATGTTACCGTACCCAAAGCTTCAAATTTGCTACCACTCCACCACTACTATCTAACTTGTGCAAGAATTAGAATAAAATTCTATGAAGATGAGACGTGTATTTGGTTTAATGCAAACCACCTCATCTCATTAGGGGAAAAGTAAAAGAAATTGTGTAACAAATATTTTGCCAGTAGTTAGTCATAACTGAAGGTGGGGATAATCTTATGCTTAAAGATCTGAACTTGAGTTTTTAAGGTTTAAGAAATTTTCCCTAATATACAGGGTTTTTTGCAAACATCTACAAAAGACTTTGACTCTGTATGTCCATTTCCCATTTGTAAAAGGGGAATATTATTACTTCTGTTTATATATTACCAAAATATTATGGCTTTGATCTCCTTTGAGTGCCTTAAACATGCTAATGATGATGCAATATTAATTAATTGCTTCAGTATTTAGGAAGATTACTTATTAAATGCAATATATTAGTCTTATCCACCCACATTGCATCTGGAACATGTTCTGAGAAGACCAGATCTCTTACTTTTTCCAAATAGTATGGTAACATGGATATGAATCAGCTTTGAGTTTCAGTGCCAAACAGGAAAGCAACCCACATTATACTTAAATAACTCACTTCCTCAGCCTCCTAATCTTGTACAAGAACTGATTCTGACTGACCAACTTTTGTTGTAGAGTGAGTAGTGCAGAAATCAAGTTGTTTTTATGTCACAGCCTCAGAATCAATAAAAATTTAGGTTTCTGGTCTTTGCTGTTCAAGTATTGCTTATCTTTATTATTCATTCGTGGTCTACAAATGATTGTGTACAGCACTTCTCATTTAAAAAAAAAATTCCTGTGTTCTGCCCTGTGTTGTGCCTTCCTGTGCCCCACAAGCTTTTGCCAATATGGAACACTGGTGGGATTTGTTTGGAGAGAAGAGGAAGCTCTTTTAGAAGTCTCTTCTAGTCATCTGCATTCCACAGTAGATGATTACCTCTGTTGCAATAAATGTCACCTGATCAGCTGAGGAATAATGTTATTTTATCATGTGCTGAGTAAAGGGATAAAGTTTTCCCCTTTACCATCCTTCCTTTTTCCATGCTGTGATAGCATGATTGTCTTTAAAGAAAACTGAGGCAAAAGTGTTTTCAGTTTTGGAGCCATTTTTATAGGGTGGCAAAGGCTGAGGGAGCTGGGCCTGTTCAGCCTTGAGAAGAGATGACTGAGGGGACCTCATCAATGTCTATGAGTACCTGAAGGGAGGGTGCCAAGAGGATGGGTCCAGGCTCTGTTCAGTGGTGCCCAGCAATAGGACAAGGGGCAGTGAGCAGAAACTGATGCACAGGAAGTTCCACCTGAATGTGAAGATCTTATTTACTGTGTGGGTTACCAAGGACCAGAATAGATTACCCAGAGAGGGTGTGGAGTCTCCCTCACTGGAGTTACTCAAGAACAGTCTGGACACAATCCTGTGCCATGTGCTCTGGGATGACCCTGCCTGAGTTGGGCAGTTGGACCAGCTGACCACTGTGGTCCCTTCCAACCTGACCCATTCTGTGATTCTGTATTTTGCTATGGTAAGGCTTTAGAAAACAACCACAAAAAAGGAATCTTTATATCTGCCCCTAACTTTGGACCTGGATCCAATAGTTACCTACCCTAGTTTTCATTGGTGGAATAAATTTATACCTTCACATGGCTCCTGTGCATGTTCTTATGAGAGGCAGTATGTCTTGCTGTGGGCTAGATCAAATCCATTTATATCAAGGAGAAATTATAGAAACAGCATATGCCTAGACCATAATAGGGGCATAATAGCTTGTGTCAATATTTGGGTCTTTCCTGAAACACAAAGCCAGAATTTCCACTGAAAAACTATCAAGCACTACCTTGTAACAACAAGCACTATCTTGTAATCAATCATATACTTCACTGTCAAGTATATATATTGTGTTTCACTAGGGGCCACGTTGCTATGAATATTGGGAATTGAGAAGAGTGGACCACTGTGAAACCTACATAAGAATTATGAAATATTTATGTAATTTTGTTATGATATTTCATGTGAATTTTCTCATTTTCCCTCTTTAGCTATTTGGGTCTGCAGAATTATACATCATACTGGGGTCAACCTGATCTTAGAAATTGCACAGGTGGGTATATTAGTGTTGGTCTTTGGAAGAATATATTTTCTCTTTATGCTAAGTTGTTTAAAAATATTTCTAAAAATCAGTGCAAAGTAAATAATTAAACTCTGGGGAAGTGCACCCAAGTTCAATTCAGCTCACCCATTTAGAGCTCTAGAAAGCAATTACTGACTTAAATCAAACTCTTCAGGCAATTTAATCAAGAGAAAAGGAAGGTGGTATCTTACCTCTATTTGATATTCAAGTTAGGAAAATTTTTAAATATTTTGAATGCCTGCTAGGGGAAAGGCTCCTGCTCTCTTCACTGGACTTACAATCAGATATTTGCAGATTTATTCTCTGTTTCTAAAATACCCTTTTATGTCATTTTGGCCATGAAAGAGTAATAAAATAAAAGTACAACAATGTTTTGGTCCCTTTTTTTAGTGCCAAAGCTAGTGAAGAGAATTATACAGTCATATGTATAATATGCAGAGCACCTACAGTAAGCTCTTGCTCTGAATTGCTGTCTTGGAGAAGCCTCTTTTGGTGTGCTAGGGAGCCTGGCTGCCTAACTCAGTCAATTGGGTACTTGCACTCAAATTATATGAACAACCTCATGTCATGTAAGATGTAAAATGAACATTCCAAAGTAAGTATATCAGAAAAATGTATTATTAAAAACAACCCACAGTCAGTTGAGAAACTAAAAAGGATGATCTTTCAAAATGTTATTTGCAAATTCCATTAAACTTTAAATGTTTTGGTGTTGTTATAGGTTAGTGTTTATATTAGTTTTCTTTCCAGGTGGCATTGAAATTACAGTTTAACATGTTTTGCCATTGGACATGCTATCAAACTTTCCTTATCAGGAAGATTCTTGTCATGAAATTTGCTTGTGTGTTGTGCTTGCCAGGACTCTGACAAGTAAGAGTAGCATCCTCTGAAAGAAGTGAAGCATTTGCAAGGGGGTCAGACTTTCTTTATAAAGCTTAAAAGAGTGAACACTTTTTCAGTAATAGAGACTTTGGATGCATTTCTTTCACTTCAAGAGTGAAACTTTTTCCCAGTGGAAAAGAAAGGATAGCATAAAGAGGGAAAAAAAAGAGATACTATCCATTGTATTCCTCTCTTTTTCATTCAATCCTCCCTTTCTAAAATAGTTCTGATTTACAAACTCAAATCAAAACAAAGAAAAGAAAGGCACAGCCAATGTGGATAGTATATAATCAGCACATCCTGTATACTTTTTTAAAAAATTTTAAGTTTGACAAAATTATGAAATCCTATGTTCATTACATATACCATAGAACATACCCTAGCTTTCAATAGTGATGATAAAAATTTGCATTTCTGGACTACTTCAGGACTGTAATGCATTAATTTTGCTTTTTGCTTGATTCTGTATGCTCACAGAAAATGCAGCAGATATTGCCAATCAGCTTCTGAATCTCACTGGTGAGGGGCAGCAGCTGACCTCAGACAAAGTAAATGACGTTGTGCAGAAGCTCAAAAAAATTGTGAATGATGAAGAAATTGATGAATCTCTGGGTTCTACCGTGGTGACAATTTTTTCCAATATTCTAGCCAGTTCAGACAGTGTATTGGCAGCCTCATCTTCAGAGTAAGTATTTCTGCATTTGAGAAAAGCTTTTGAGAGCAACCTGCAAGGCTGTAAGGATTCATTCTTACATGTATAGACAAACAAGAAAATCAAAGTTTTCTGATTTCCATCAAAAACAATTTTCCAAAACAGATACACAAATATTTCTTCTTTTAGTGTGCTTGACAAAGTATTTGGATGGAAAAGAAGTCTTTTGATACATGACACAGCATAGATATAAGTATTGTTGGAAAATTATTTCAGGACCAGTGATATGTAGTCACACAGTTTCTGTCAGTAAAAAGCTTTTGTTTTCAAGATACATGCATAAATTTACAGTCCAACAGTCTCCTTGTGAATACACAGATGGGTAATAAAAGCATAGTAACAAGAGGATCATCTTGTTATGTGAGGGGCATGCAGAGCATAGGTGGGGTTTTTTCTGTATTCAGTTTTCAGAGTAATTTTTATTTCTGTTTTTAGAGCTCTAAAAACTATTGATGCCTTGGCTTTAAAGATCCATTTTGCTGGACCATCCATGAGTATTTCAACACGAAATCTCGCACTTGGAGTGTCTTCTATAAATTCAACTTCATTCAAAGGTGGTGCTTTCAGCGTCAGTCCACAGAATAATGCATCTGATTTCCAGGTACACAACAAGCAGCTGTATTTGAACATGAAATGTGCCTGTTGTTCCAAGTGTGTTTACTGTGGTTCCTATAAATCCACTTACAACTCCCAGTTCTCCCCCTACTTTCTATTTCCTTTTTCCTACAATCATCCAAACAGATAACAGATTAATGTAGTATTTCCTTGAGTGACAGGAAACACAGATAAACTCACATTCCATGCAGATAAAAAGTAATTTGGCTTATAAATCCACAACACACTTGACCTTTTTTTTTAGTTTTGTGGGGATTTTTTTCTAGTGAAAAAGGAAAATAACTTTTAACAATCTGTGGTACTGACCACTGTACAATATCTAACAACTCTTTTGATGTCTTTCAGCTTTAAAATAAAACACCTATATATAGGTATCTACTTATAGATTTCTGCAGATATAAAAGTTCTTCAGCCTTCCAGAAGTTTAAATATTAAGTGCTAAAAGAAACCTAAGTCTAATCCAGTTGTCCACATATAGGTTGATTGGCTTGTACCATTTAGGATATCTGAGGCATTCAAGTCATTCATGTGGAGCTTTACCAGCCTAGACATAAAAAATAAAATGAACAGAGATCACAAAAAATTTAGGAAGGTCTCCAGTGCTACAGGATCTAGACAGGATACTCTAGTTAAGATATTTATCATCACCTCAAAAATATTTTTTCTTTCCTTTTTTTCCCACAAATAGAAAAAAACAGACATCTTAATATTTGAAATACTGCTTAGAAGCACACGAGCACCAACAGGATTTTCCAAAGGTCCTTTTGAAACCAGTAGTGATGAGGTGCCAAAAATTTATAAATTTCACTACATCTTAAGACACCTAAATGCTTTTAAAAATGCAGTACATTTTAATTTTTTTCAGTTAAATAGGAAGTCTGTGACTGAGGTAATGTAATGTCAGTTTCCCGGGTGTTTAACCATTCAAGTACAGTGAGTCTTACTTGGAGAAACACATAGAAAATATTACATGGAAAGAGAAAAAAATCTGCTATCATTTGGGCCAGAGGAATTAAAACTGAATTCAACAAAATATGGCTTTATATAAACATTTAAAGACTAATCACTAGAGTAAAAGTATTGTATGGAAACAAAATAATTCCTGCTGCAAACTGGCAACACAACAATCCTAATAAATGTCTGATCATTTTATAAAACATGATATACTGTGAAAATCAAAACAAGAATGAAGACAGGAAAATGTCTACTTCCTAGAAGAAGTAGTAGTAATATAATAGTCTTTAGGACTTGTGCATATATGTAAACTCTGGATCAAAACTCAAATTTTTTAAATAGATAAAAATAGATTTAATGTACTTGAGTTTTCACATATCTATATTCCTAGATATTTTAATTAAAATTCCTTTGAATCAATTTTATCAGAAATTTTTGGTGATTGTAAATCTATTTTTGTTTAACTCTCATATTAATGAAGCTTAATAGCTGTTTGTGAAGCTGAATAGTTCTTTGTTATCAAAGGAATGTTTCTCCTGCAGATTTCATCCTTTATTTATGGAAAGAGGAAAGGAAAATTCTGAAGCCAGGTTTTAGATGATCATACATAGAACAGGAATTACCATCTGTGGCTTGAGGACATCCAGGAATTTTCTCGTCCAGGAATCATTTATTACAGCACTGTCTAAATAATCATAAAATCCAAACTTCGTCAAATTATTTATACTGTTCCTATTGGAACATGAGCTTCTTTTCAGACTTTCACATTTCCAACAGCTGATTGAGAATTCTTAGCATCCTTCCTACCAGAAAAGTTGCAGCAGCTGTGGGCACCATTTATATTTTCCATGCCGGTCAGAAAGATACTTTCTGTCCCTGCTGAAGGGAGATTCCCTTGTGAAAGCCCACGTTTTTCACCACTGTAGTGATGATCTATCCTAGGCTCATCAGGGAACATTAAACTCTTCAAGCTGTATGTCAGAATGTTTCCAGATATTTTTTTTTCTTGTATTTTTTTCTTAAAGTAGATACCAAGCAAATTTATCCATGGCAATTTGGAAAGATTCTATTTCAGTCCCCTGTGTCTTTATGTTTCTTGCCAAAACTTTGACTAAGTTAGGTTTTGGTGATTCATATTATTAAATTGTTCCTGTAATATATCCATGCTTCTTTGGAGAAGCCTCTTCTACCCTGTTTGCAGACAGTGCCTAATGGGACATCTTTATCACGTACACACTTTCTGTTTACTGTGGCGGAATCAACCTCTGAAAACCTGGTCTTGAACTGCATTTATCCCTGTCAGGAGATGTCTGTGAGCTACTTCTTACTGATTTCCAAGGGTGAATAATCTGTCAATAGCCTATGACTTTTAACTTTCTATTAGCTAATGATGCTTTTAGAATGACACAATTGTCCATGAGAGGCATAAGTACATGGCCAGGATGCCTCTGGGGAAGTCAGTAGTGGGAGTTCCCATATCTCACAGTAAATTCTGAAGTGCTTTTACTATAGAGTGAGCTGACTTTACTATCCTGTGAGCTGGCTTGTTCCCCTTCTTTCAATGGATATGGTGGCACACCTTGAGCAGGCCATGGTGGAAAGTGATCAGTCACAGAATTGCTAATAAAATGCAGGGTTGCATCCTCTTATTTCCTACTCACTTGTTATATTCCTGGGCCACAGAGGGCTTTTAGATTTCTGATACATTGCCAATAAAGATTAAATTTATGTGATGTCAGAAAGTGTCTTTTTTTGTGTTACAGAGCACAATAAATATGGAAAACTGACATTAATAATTTTTAAATCTGCTTTCCAGAGAAACTATAAAAGCTCATAAGAAAATTATTTCAGATGTGCAGATCAAGGCAACTAATACAATTTAATAAAGAAAGATTCAGAGCATATCTTTTAGTTCAAAAGATATTGTTTGCTATGAGGAAAAGTATTTTGAATGCTGCTGGAAATGGTTCTGACTGTTGTAATTACCATTTCATTGTTTCCAAATCATCATTATAGCAGTGGAGGAGTTTGTTTCTTTGTTGGTTTTATCTGATATCTTTTTGTAGCAGAAGGCTGATCTCATGCTGGAAAAGTGGGAAACCTCCCTAGCCTTTAAAAAGTTTATTTATTGCATCAACTCTAACATAGTCATTTTAATGTTGATTGGTTCTAGTCCCATATCTAGATATTTCTGTTTAAGAGTGTGAACTCAGTTGTGGACAACAGATGGTTTCTTTACTGTTTGAAGATGTTCTCCTGTTGTTTTTATTTAACAGATAGATTTTGACAAGGATCAGACAAGTGCCATCGCTTCTGTTGTTCTGCCACCAAGTTTACTGAAGAATTTAAGTCAAGACGAGTTTGAAGTTATATCCAGGGCTCAGTTTACTTTCTTCAATAAAAATGGTCTTTTTCAGGTAAGCATTAATGTACTTGAAGTCACTACAGATAGAGTGAATCAACAGCTGCTAAAAGTTTCCTGTAGTGTAATCCTTTCACAGTATTTCATGAGTTACAGGAATTAAAAGATGACAGCAAACGTAGGCACTAAAGACAGTCTTATGTTCAGAGCAGCAAAATAGTTGAAGTGCCCAAGTTGAGTTGAAGTCAGTGGTTTAACTGCAAATTCCTCTCACATGTGAAATAAACCTTTTCTCAGGGTAATCTATGGAAAACTGTATCCCAACTGCTTAAAATAGAGGAAAGCAGCAAAAGCATTTAAAAAAGCCTTTAATTCTGTTAAAATGCATTAATATAACTCCTTGATTTTCAGTGGAGACAGGTTCTTTTCTATCAGGAGGGAATTTGGCATATAACACTGCCAAGTACTCTCCTTTTAAGAGCTGGTTAGCAGTCGTGTCCAGCTGACTGCCCTGTATTCAGTTGGGAATCCCAGGCTGATGGTTAGGAGCCAGAGGATTTTTGTTCATATATGTGTATATATATACACACTGTTCTTTTCATATCTGTGTTCTCATAAGCATACCATATTTTAATAGGAATAAGGAGAACAATACTTGTACCTGAAACCTAAACATGCTCAGGTAGATTTGATGTTTTATTTTTCGTGTCTTATCAAATGGTAATTGTAAATAGTGCCTGCATGGTAGGTGCCAAAAATGTTTGGAAGAGTTTGCAGCTTGGAAAAAGAAAACCAAAACCACAGTTATTGGGGAAAAAAAAAGAGTTAATTAAGAAGGAAACATTGTTTCATGGTGAACTGTAGAATGTGTCTCAGAAGACTTGAGTTTGTTTTCCCATCAGTATTTCAAGTGACCTTTGGCTCTTGTGCATCCGCAGAACTCCGTAGTATTGTATTGTCCCTATATTATCGTTTTTATTGGCAGTGTATCCAGATTCTTCAGATAATCTAGGCAAGAAAATACCCATGACCCACAGTTGCCTTCTGAAATACACCCCAAAGTATTTTTATTTTAAATTGTATTCGTTTTAAGCCTGCTTTTGAGAAAAACAGGATGAATATCTTTAATAAAAAAAAAACCCAGAAGAATACAGATGAAGGCTGGTCATAATGGCATAAAATCATATGAAGTCATAATGTGTCCCTTAATGGTGCCAGAATGCATTTCTAAGTGGTACTTAATAAGCCATTGAAAAACAAAGACCATAAAAATTGCACCTTAATTTGCAACTAAAATGCCTTTCATTTTTTATGTGTTTTTCAAAGTCTTTATGGGTGATGTCTTTAACACAATGAATTAAAAATGTGCAACCCTTACATTTTTAGGAAGTCTAAAAATAAAGGAAGTTAAAGAAAAAGGGGATTAAAATAAGTCTTACAAATAAACTCCACATGCCATCTCAAACCAAATAACTTTATCCATTAGTATAAGAGCAATTTATTTGTATTGCAGTTCATATTTCTTCCATGTGCAATTATGAATATCTGAATGCTATTAGTTGTCTTCCTTAAAAGTATTCAACATAACAGTGAAGCATAGTTTGCAGTATTGGAAGTGGGCATCATTGTATTGCAGCTGAGAGAATTCCATTAAGTTTTGGCTTGTAATTCATTATAGATGGTTCCCTTACTTAGAGGGCTATATAAAAGCTGTTCAGGGTGGGATTCACTTCACCAAACACAGGTGTGTTCAGTGTAAACATCTGTGCCTGAACTGTTGAACTTCAGCTGAACACAGCCTTATGGCTGAATAAGTAGAAATCTGTATTTTCCTTTAAAGCACATATAAGAATACATTAAATTGCCTTCACTAAAGAGACCAACTCTGTCTCGTTTTTCTTATCTGCTACAGACAGAATCCATTGAAACCTGTGGAAATATGTCCAAGGACTTTCATAGACTTTGTTGGATGCTCAAATTTAGGTGGTAGCCAAGAGACTTTTTCTTGTCTGAGTACTAAAGAACTGCCTAGAGATTTGCATTTTCTTTCCTCTTCAGTTTTTAAGGTTTTAGGAAATTTTGCCACAAAGCTCCAGTATAATCTGAAATACTGTGTCTGAAAATTCTTGGTATGGTTCTTGGGAAATAAAATACTCTTCTCAGGATAATATCCACCAAATAACAGAAGCTATTGTGTCTCTCGTGAGTGGTGGGATCTCACAAGCCCAGTGCTGAGCTGAAACCTGATGTCTTGTTGTGTTAACAAAACTCCTAAATGGAAGGAATCAAGGGTTCAGGAGTTTGTCAGACCAGATTTTGGGAGGGAAAGTGAGTGGCAATAGAAGACTTTATTTTACCTAAGATCTGCCACAGGCAGTAGCCTAGCTTTCCAACCAGGCATGTAAATGTGCAGGTTCCAATAGAAGCCTATCAAAAGAAAAAAGCACTGCTAATGCACTCCCATTTCAACAAATAATTAATTTCCAAGAAAAACACCTCTTCTGGAAAATTGTCAGCTGCAGGTTAAAAATCCTACTGGTCAATGATAATGTCAGAATTCTATTTCAATTCCTATCAAATAAGACCTTACAGAAAATGCTATCCCCTTCAGTATGTAACATTGCTTTGAATTTGTTTACTACTTCATAGTCATTCATTGTAAGATTGAGGGTGATTTAGCAACTATGTCCAGAAAACAGTTTATTCTCTAAAAACTTTGCATTTCCTAAAGGACAGTATCAACAATAAGATAAGTGAGCTCGTTCATGCTTGTTTAGGGAAATGAGCTAATCATATCACGGGTTGTTATCTGCCACATTGTTTGAGTTTATAATTTTGTTTGCCGTCTAGCCTCTCTCTATAATTGTGCCTATGCTTTATGGCTACAAGAAAAGTAGGAAAGCCTCCATGAGGCTAACCCATAATTTGATTTTATAAACATAACATTCTTATATTGTGTGATCAAAAGTACAGAAATGCTGACAACTTACTTATTCTGGCACGCTGCAAAAAGGAAACTGTGTACTCTGGCTTTTATGTTATGTGCCATGTAAGCACTTAGTATATTTTTCTTAATCTCTTGAAGGATGCAGAAAATCCTGCCAATTTGACCAGTTTCGTGGTAGCATGCAGTATTGGAAACTTAACCATTCAGGATCTTCAGGATTATGTGAAGGTTACAATCAAGCATACCAAAATTCAGGTAAAACAAGACTGTTTATTCAGAGGAAGAGGAATGCAGATTATATATGGCAAAAGCTAAGATTATAATATTATTTATATGGATGGATTTTGAGTAAGATCTAACTCAAATCAAAATGAAGAAGTCTAGGACAAAAGCATGCAAGCACAACACAGAAACAAATAATCTCTCCCATCCTCATACATTCACACTCCATTCATGACCTAATATTTATCTGCAAGACAATTGATTCTACCCCTCAGAAGCAATTTTGTGCCAATAACTGTTGGTGAAACCTTTGTTAATGACCATATTCATGACATAATTTATTACACTGTTACTTCATGATTACTTAAATTCTTTGACCAAACATTATTTGCACTGTTAATAGTTCCCAGAATTATTTTTTTGTTATGTGGTTTTCATCAGAGGAATGACAGAAACACAATTATAAAAGATGACTACAGTAAATTTAGGGAAATACAGAACAAATGCAACCTTTTGGCACACACTGTTCCAGTTAGAAAATGTGTGAGCTTGACTCCGTTCTCAGTACCTAATTCAAAAGAGGCACTAGCACTTGAAACATTAAAGAAAATGTTAAAATGAAATACCTAAGTAAATTGTTTATGTAATGAGAAACTGGTTTGTAATTGTCACAGCTCAATTGACTTTGTCTTGCATTGCATTACAATGAATATTTTAAGGTGAGGCAAAACAACCTACACATGGGTTCAGCAGTCACTTGTACATTTTCAAGCTTTACGTAGAGGATTCATGAAGAAGCCTTAAGGCAGTAAACAGGTGAAAGTATTTAGATTATATAAAGACATCATATTCATGGATAACTTCAATAATTTGAAAACATCATTATTCTGAGGATGTGCAAAGGGAACTCTTGAACAGTACATAGAAGCAGTGCTCCAGATTTTGCAATTTGGACAAATCCATTTTTCTAGCAGGAAAAAAACTCTAATTTGACACTAGGCAAATTTTCAACAATCAAATTATATGGATTCTTCAGCTCATTAAATGAAAATATATGCATTGCAACATCTGTTGTAAATGATGAGATTTATGTCTGAAGAGATATACAAAGTCTACTTTTACATCTGTTCTTAGGAAGATCCTAAACCTACCTGTGTCTTCTGGGATATGAACAAAAATGGTAAGTTTGAAAGTACTGTAATTTCTTTCATGAAGGGAATAATATGTCTGAGTCTTAAAATTGGTCACAGTATTGGCTATTTTGCTCCCAAATCGATCATTTCAGGATTCAATAAAGTCCACTCAATGAAGTGTATAATTTTTTCTGGGTAACATAGTTACTTGTAACAGCAAATTTTAAATGCTCCTTTTTAAAATTTGTTTTTAATGTAAATGTTTTTAACATTTAAAAATTTTCCATTAAGCTTTTCCAAATTTTTCCCGTAGCTGCAGTTTTTCTCTGCTCTGTCTGTATGAGCAAATTAAATTATAATGCTACTCAGACACATGAATGGTTCTTAGCACACTTTTAACTGCTCATTTTTTAAAGAACTTGGTTATATAGGTGTAAGATTGGCACTGTTACAGATTATAAGCTTTTATGGTCACATATGGAGACACATTAATAAAGCAACATTTTTAGACCATTCTTCATCAAAGAATGGTCACTACTGCCAAACCTGTGTGTGGTGTTTTATTCAGGCTCTTAATCCATTGCACAAAGTCGTTCTCTGGGATGAATTTCCAGATGTCTCTGTTTTAGAGATCACTGCTGAGAATTTTCTCTTCCTTACAATGAAACAGAGCTGAGGATTTTGGATGGAGAGGTTCAGTACACAGAGTCTTGCAAGAAATAAAATTTAACATCCAAATTTGTAATTCAAAGTAGGAAATACAGACTGAGCAACTGAGGAGAATTCAGCAGGATTAAAATGAGCAAAAAAATCATAAAAACTAGTTAGGAAGCTGAACTTAAGAATCACATTAAAGGAGAAACAACACAGGGATGGAAGTAACTATTCACAGTGGCTGCTTGAGTGGAGAAGAGTTTTAAGTGGTTTTGGAATATCTTCACAGTATTCTTCACAGTATTTTGGAGAATGTCTTGAATTTGAGTATTTGATTGTCTTGAAGTTACAGAGCAAATTAGGCTGGATTTTGTCAAGAGCCATGAGAAAAATGTCTTTAAGAGTCAGGGAATAAGAACGATTTCACAAAACTAACTTGTATTTTGGCAGAGAAAAAATGAATAAAGAAACACTTTTTACTTTTCAACATTTAATTTTTAAAACTAAAATCTTTCTACTTGTTTTTCAGAATGGCCTTTTCATGTGGGGTGGGTTGGGAATAGTTCACTTCATGTTTTTTTGTAAGGCCACCAGAGATCATTGGGATTACCCATTCTGAGCTTCTGCATTACATGCTGCAGAGAGGAAGGGTGGGACCCTGTGCTCCTGGGCTGTAAAAGCTTTCATGTGCCTGAGGATAGATGAGTGGGAGGCAGGCAGGTGTAGTCATCACATCAGAGGGGGGAAGAGGAGTTCTAAAACCATCTTATTATTGGGTAAAACTAAGGCGTGTCTTAATGCGCGACCCATGTCTTACTCACTAACCAAAAAGCTCCCTACCTTTATTATACGTCTTCATCTGTTGCTTCTGCTCAGTAGTCCATTTCTGGGCACTCATCTGGGGTGATTCTTTGCAGAAACTAGGAAATCTGACACCTGCTTCTCTTGCAGTTGTTTTTAATGCTGGCTCATTCAATTTGAGAAAGCACTTCTGCATTTGCGCAGGATGAAGTGAGAAATCTTCTAAAAGAGAGGTTGACATGTGTTTGTTGGACGTCAGTTTCTCATGTTTCATTTCCACAGGTGGCAGTGGTGGCTGGAACCCTGCGGGCTGCCTGGTGGATGCAGAGTCCAATGAAAATGAAACTGTGTGCTTATGCAACCACCTCACACATTTTGGGGTCCTAATGGTAGGCAAGCTCACTACTCACCATGTTACTTTTCCCAGGAACAGCAACACAGCTTTTATCTGGTGGCAAGACAACTCTCATTTTTTGTTACTTGGGTTCTTTCTTTTGCATATAATTTAAAATAATAATAATAATACATTACTTCCCCCTTATTATCATGAGTTATCTTGTCATAACAAAGTAGCTAGTGATAAGGATTCAGGAATGAGATAATGAATTAAGTTAGCATTGGAAGAATATTATTGTTGTTGTTATTATTATCATTATTAAATTCTTTAAAAGTGGCTAAATATTATTTTTTAAATAATTAAAACATACCCATGAGATTTTTCTATGTTTCAAAAATACTCTGCCACAAAAGACCCGAGATTGAGACTTCTGAGTGATACCAAAATACAAATAACATATTATAACATCCAGCTTAATATAACTAAGGCCCAGTACTAATATTTCTACTAGAGAGACAGGAGAAAAAAGTGATCTTAATGAGTCCTAAGTTTCAGGGTATCTCTGACATATCCCTTAACTGTATAATCTGACAAAATGACCTTGAGAAGTTGCTTGCAGGAGAAAAAGGAAAAAAAAAAAAAAAAAAAAAAAAAAAAAAAAAAAAAGCATGAGAAATGAGAAATAGTTAGAAATGCTGTTTTCAGAACAAAAAGAAAAGCGACTTTCATTGTAGGGAAAAACAGGGAAAGAAAAACATCCTCCAGACAGCCGAAATAGTAATGAGGATGAAAAGTCAAGGGAGCACAATAATTCTCTTTCATCCTTAGATAGAAAGGCTGGCTTGTCCCTTGCAAATCTGGTTCTCAAACTTGACAAGATTTATCTAATGTCATAAACTATGAAGTGGCACCTTTTGCACAATGTGTAAACCCATATTGGCTGTTTTCTTACTTGGCTTTACTCAGTTTTGGGGATCCCTAATGTTACAGGCCTTCTCTTGGAAAAAGACTGCTCCCAGAGCACTGGTACAGAACACGTAGCCCATGCTCTGTCAGAGCCTTAAGCAAAGTCTCCTGACAGGGTGGCCAGCAGAGCAGTGTCTGTCCAGGAGATGAAAGAGGGAACCATATGAGGCACTTCAACCTCAGCAGCATAGCCTCCAGCCTTCAGCTGCCTCCAGCAATTTCCACTTGTGTTTTCCAGAAGAAAAAAAATCCCAACAAGAAAAAATGGAATAGTGCTATCTTTTCTGAACTTTTGGTTGTTGTTTATGCTCAATAATGGGCTGATACATTTTTTTTCCAGCTGAAATTAACATTCTTTGGCCTGTAAAAAATAGCTGCAGAAAAGATGTTGGCTCCTGGTCACAGCAGGAATAATTCCTAAGTGGAAGTATTTGGGGTTTGAAGTAACATGTGGCAGTGTCAAATAGGACTTAAACCACACAAGGGAGCCACATACCCTGACTTTTTCAGCTTTGGCCTTCCAGACCCTTCTTAATAGAACTGCTCTCGTCACATCATGCTGAGATGTAGATATGGAAAAGCCACAAATTTTGTGTCTTCTTGCAAGCTAAATTATGGTCTTGTTCCACTTTTCATCCCCAAAGGGATTAAGAAAAGGCTTTCTTTAGGATATATTCAATGAGCCCCTTCTCTTCCCTGAATGCTTCAGTGGCAGTAGGAAATCAGGCAGAAGGTCTTTGAATTTGGGCTGCATTCCAATAGATTTTTACGTAGTTTTGACCATTCTAGTTGCTTTTCCATTTTAATAATTTTTTCTGACTTTAATTCAGATACTAAGTTATTTCCAAAAAACAATCTCCTTATGCATAAATAAACTGTCATATAAGGCTGGTATGGATAGTAAGAAAAACCTGCTCCCGCCTTTTCCTACAAAACATGCAAAGTTTTACAGCATTTAATGTTTCTTTTTGTTAGCTTGTTTTGCTAGGGACAACAATGAAAATGACTGTAGAATTGACATAACTATATCTTAGTGTTTGCACACATTTTCTCCACAGTGATATAAATCCGAACACTCTTAAAAAAAGGAAATAACGCTGACATTCATTCTCAGATGGTACCATGTGACAGTTACAGTTAGACAGAAAAAGAAAAGAAAATCCTTAGAATTTTGTGAAGCGGAATCCTGCTTCATTTCCAATTTTTTTTTCTGTTGTCTTTATCACTACTTTTCTGACCAATTATATTTAAAAATGTAGTTCTTATATCAAAACAGACCCTAAATCCAAAATGCAATAGCTTACCCTTGGTTTCACCGGTACATGATTAGTTGCATCGATTCATATGGACTTTAAATAACAAAAAGGCCAAAAATTCACTACAATGTTGCACATTTAAGTATGAATACTTTAAAGTTACATTTTTCTAAATCTTACATCTTCTGAAAAAGAGTTGTATACAAGCAACAGAATTAAAATTTGGACACTGGACACTTTTCCTGAGAAGGACATTTCAATTCCTAGTACTGAATTATAAGGATCAGAATCAGACTCTATCTTCTGTTCCCAGAAGTTATAATACTTACAGCACAATGTTTTGGAGAGCTGTGGGAAGGAAGTGAGAGGTGTAACAACTATAGACCGAGAACACGCAGCAAAAATGAACCTCAGTGTCAAGGTTACAGTGGTATTGCCAGAGTGCTTTTCAGTTTTACTCGACCCATTACCAAGAAAGAGTGCTGTGCTCACAGCAGAAGTGCTGCCTACGGCCAATGTCTCTTCCTTCTCTCTCACAGGACCTGCAGAGAGCCGTGACGCAAATCGACCCACAGAACACCAAGGTCCTGACCTTTATCACTTACATAGGCTGTGGAATATCTGCTATATTTTCAGCTGCAACTCTTCTGACATACATTGCGTTCGAGTAAGTACTAATTCTGTGAAGAACATCACAAAGAAGTACCTGTATGTGCAGAATAAAATAAGTTAGTTACGTGGTTAGCGTGGTTTATTTCCCTAGGAGGGGAAGTCCATGGCAGAAGAAAAAATCAGACCTGCAAAATCAGGGTCACAGTGTTGTAAAGTGGAAACTTTTTCAAGGGGACAGAAGTTCAGAGTCTTTCTTCCAGTTTCTAATGTGTTGTGCTGCTCAGACTAGGGAATAAGAGGAATGTGTATCAAAATGTTCCTTCTGGCAAGACAGAATCCTCTAGATTTTGAACAGATGGATATTATTCTAAAATTGTCAAACAGGCTTTTTATTAAAAAAACCCCCAAAGCTTGCCTATGTGAGCATAACAATTTCCAAATTTAAAAAGAGAAATTTCCAACTAGAGCAATTACATCCTATAGCCCTTAAGACAGAAGTGGGAAGAGATAAAATGAACATAAATTTCAAGTGTTAAAACAGTTTCAACAGAAATCCCGCTGAAGTGTGAAAGTGACTCAAGAGAAAGCAAAAATTTTGAAGTGTTACAGTTCTGTGAACAGTGAAAAGAGAAAATGAAGTCATGTCAACACAAAGAAAGCATTATGCCAGGAACAGGGCAGGACATAGTAGCTGCTAAAGGAGGATAATTTTCTGGGGACAGGAGGGGGAAGGGGGGCTGAAGAAGGGACTTTTCAAGTTTTAAATATCTTCAGTGATTGCATTCCTATTACATTACCTATGGTATAGTGTTCTGGTTCAAGTTGGTAGAAATTGTTTGCTGCCCCTTATTATGCAGATTTCAGTGGGGATCAGTTTAAAAAAATTACGTTTTCCGCTCTTCCTAAGAGACTATTTAAAAACAAACAGAAAACCACATCCACTGGACAATATAGTCCAAAAACTAAGCTAACATATAAGGCCACATATGAATAGAACACAGAGGACCTTCTGGTCAGCTATACTTTTTTTTTGTTTTCATTTAAAATAAAAAGTACTGGTTTATATTTAATTTAAAGTTTGGGGTTTTTTTAATAAAAAAAAATCAGTTGTTAAAATATTGCAGCAGTTAATTAGCTCATCATGGACCCAAAGAACTGGTAGCTTACCCCCACCACACACAGCTGAAACCTTCAACAATCCCACACAGAAATACACACCACTATGTCTTATTGCACAAACCGAGCTGGAATGGGTTCCTTGTGCTTTTATTGACTTTGTGAAGGGGTAAGCCCAGCTGCAGGAGGTGGTTTGTGTGATTGCAGCAAGTTAATCATGTGCACCTGTGCTTCTCTCATTAGGAAGCTACGACGAGATTATCCATCCAAAATCCTGATGAATCTGAGCACAGCCCTGCTCTTTCTTAACCTGATTTTTTTGCTTGATGGCTGGATTGCATCCTTTGATATTGATGGCCTCTGCATAGCTGTGGCTGCACTTTTGCACTTTTTTCTTCTGGCCACCTTTACATGGATGGGACTGGAAGCTGTTCACATGTACATTGCTCTAGTGAAGGTGTTCAACACGTACATACGGCGATACATACTGAAGTTTTGCATCATTGGCTGGGGTGAGTTCACTAGATGCAATATTTCCATAGGATGGATGCTGTTGTATAAAATGTTTTTCGTAAATGCTGCTATATAAAAGCTCTCTATCTGGAATACAGAGTAGAATTTATATCAGTGTGTGGTTTCCTTCCCCAGCCTGCAGCAGTGCCGGCACGCAGCCAGCCCTCTCTGTCACCGAGTTCCCCCCTGTGCTTCTGTGTAAATACACTCTCACTGGCACTCCCCACCCAGGGCAGCTCCCAGCCCCAGAATGAGTGGAGAGACCAGATAAACTGGTCTTGTTTTCCAAAGAGGCCAGAGTGGGAGAGGGGAAATGTGAGTGCTGTGTCAGAGATGGAGGACTGTGTCACATAATGAATGCAGAAACTTTTGCAGTTACTGCAAAGCCTATGGAGGTTTTGCATCAACTTTCAAAAACTTTAATTCCAGCTTAAATTTTCTTGCCAACAAGCACAAAGCCTATTGTGGAATCACAAACAACCAAAATTTTCTGAGATTCAGCACTGTATTTAAACCACCAAGAGATTCTGGCTGCCTTAAGCAATGTACACAGCAGGACAGAAATGGAAAAAGTAATACTGAAAAATAACTACAAGACTCAGGCAGCAAGACTTATTCTTCATTTTTGTCTGTATCAGGAATCTGTGGTTTCTCCCTGAATGCGCATATTGTGTTTGAAATCATACAACACAATGCAAAGCCATTAACCTTAGGCTAGAACACTGACCTCAGTGCAGCTGATAATTGATGTCTTTCCATTGGCAACTAGCATCCTCTTGGCAACCTCAGCAGAGGACAAGGACTGAGTGGTCGGAAAAGCAAATTAACCTCTTCCCCTTTGAATCTATTCTGTTATAGCAAGGATAAGACATGTAAATAAGGCATATCAGGAAACATGCATTTCTTTTGTGTGAGCTGTACCTTTCTGCAGAGTTTTCTTCTGCATAGTTGTCCATTTTCCCAAATACACCCTCGACTTTTTTATTAAGAAATACATAGTTTGCTTTATGGAAGCAAGGGGACCACATATAATATGTATAGTACTGTAGAAGATATATAATATGGTGTAGATAATATAATGTGGTTGAGAGAAGCAGTGGAGAAATTACAGATTTAAGTTCATGTTCCCCAGTTACGCAACTTTATGAATTCACATTAGCATAAAAAAAACCTCAAAAAATTCCTACTACCATTCCTCCACTAGATCCCATTTTTGGAATAATTTCTTAATCTTTTCATTGTATAATGAGAGCCTGTGTGCAGCTGCAAATTTAACTTTGGGCAATTAAGGGATATTATTTTACTTTAGTTAATTATTTTACTTTAATTTCCTTATCACATACCAAACTTCTCCTACCTTACAGAACATTACAAGGCTTATTCATTAATGCCTGTTGATTGTTTTGATGGTTCTATATATTTGTACTGTTTTGAAAATTGTTTCCTTCTACATTCTCAGTGCAGTTTTCTCAGGATGCTGTGCACTAAAGTAAAAGGGATAGAGATATCAGTAATTCAGCTTAGCCCAGTGAATTTGAAAGTTTAGGAGATTTGACAGCTCATGAGTTTTCTTGTGTTACAGGTTTGCCAGCTCTGGTGATAGCAATTGTTTTAGCAAGTGCTAATACAAATGCAAGTCGTATTTATGGCAAGCAGTTATATGGCAGAGATGCAAGCGGGCAAGGAGGAGATGACTTGTGAGTATTTCTTTAGATCTCTTGAAATTTAGCATTTATAGTTGCTTTGGAAAAGTCAATGGTGCATTAAACAAGCAAAAAGGGACAAAACCCTGAATGATTAGAATCTGTAACGTGAAGAAGGCTGTTAGAAAAATTGGAGGGAAATCTGCATTACCCAATGCCAGGAACAAACATGCCTCTGGCAGAAGTTTTTCATTAAAATAAAATAAAAATAGTTGTTTTGGTTTGTCTTAAATAAAAAGTATATTTTCTAGGTAAGAGCAAAGAAAGAATTTGTATAAAAATAGTTTCCTTTGTAAATCAAGCAGCCTTTTGCCAATGTAGTTCAATAGTCCTCTATGTTCTTCTCATGATGTCCACATAATAACTCCAAATTTTTTATGTGAGTGCTCTTTTCCTTGCCTGGCAAAGCCTCATTATGATAAATAAAACTTTAATTTTTTGAATTTTATTATAGTATCATGCTGAGCATTCAGGCCATTTGCTGCAAGAGGAATTAGTTAGAGCTCTCATATGGCTGACTGTCAAATGGCTACCTCAAAAGTCCTGCTTCTTCTCCAGTCATGTTCAAGTTCTTCCTTAGCTCCTGTGGCAGAAACTTGAGATTTTGACAGTGAAGATCTAAGTTTGCTCATTCCGTTTCTAAAGCACTCAAGTGCTTCACACAGATGACAGCAGTGAATTTTTAAGTACTGACTCTGAACATTTTTCATGATGGGATTGCAGTTCCCACCATTTCCCATTTTTTCTAACTAGTTTTAACTAAAATGTGATACAACCCTCAGATTTCTCACATTTTAGTACTATAGGCCATACTCACTTAAGATGCTTCTAGGCTTCATCCTGTTTCCAAACAGAAAATGGACAAATGTTTCATTCTACACTATATTTTTGGATCGGTGGTATCAGAAATTGGCTCATTTTCCTTTGGTTGTATGATTAATGGAAGGATAGTTTCCATTAATCAAAAATGATCCTTTATTTTATTTTAATTTTTTTACAGCTGCTGGATCAAGAACGAAGTTGTCTTTTACGTGACTTGTGCCGGCTACTTTGGAATCATGTTTCTAATGAATGTCGCCATGTTTATCGTGGTGATGGTGCAAATCTGCGGGAGGAACGGGAAAAGAACCAACCGGAGCCTCAAGGAAGAGATCCTGAGGAACCTCCGCAGCGTGGTCAGCCTGACCTTCCTCCTGGGCATGACATGGGGCTTTGCCTTTTTTGCCTGGGGTCCCTTAACTCTTGCTTTCCTGTACCTCTTCTCAATTTTCAATTCATTGCAAGGTAAGCTGAATTTTTGTTCTGTGAACAAATATTTGATCTGTTGCTGTTCTGGGGCATGCTATGCCCAGTGATTGGACCAGGGAACTCATATCCAGTCTCTCCAGGTTTTCCTTTGATTTTTAACCATCATTAGTTTCCCCTTACGTGGAATAATAATATCAACTACAGGTGGTTTGAATATCTTATGTAAATTAATTATGGTTTCAATGTCTTTTTCTATAAAATGAGCTACATTATAAATAGAGCTCTCCCTAGCTAACAGTTGGCAGTGTTCTCTGTTGAGATACATGCTATATGACCTTCAGCATTTCCTTTCACTGATTATAACAAATATAGGAAGCCTTTTTCCTTACTTTATTTCTGTAGGGAATCTGTGAAACTCATAAATATTTTATTAAGGCATGAGAAACTCATAAAATAAAATTCAGTCCTGCCTCATTGTGGAGAGATAGCAGAGATATATGGGATATTCTTTGCTTAAGAAAAATCCAGTGACTGTTACAGTCAGATTATTTTTCTTTCTGTTACTCAAGTTTTCAATATTTTACTTTTCCAGCATAGCTTGTCTTTTTGAAAAATGCTGTAAATTGTAATCACATGGTTATAAATTACAGAATGATATAGCTGATATTTATAAAAATTTAACTCAGAGCTAAAATTTGCGTATGTCTCAATTGCCATAAAATTCTCTACTTGTGCTTGCCCTATCCACCTATAAAGAACAACTAAATATCCCATGAAGAGAAAACCTTGAGGATATTGGAAGTCCGTGTGTTATGCCGTACACATATTGACGTAAAAATTAAACTTGCCGGGGGGGGGGGGAGGGGGATGGGAACCCAGAAAAACCCCAAAAAGCAAGCTCAAGAATGTCATTGAAGGAAACGTGTTATGCAACACAAATATTGGGATAAAAATGAAATTTTCTTAGGGTCAGCAAAATATCTTCTCTTTACGGAAAAAGTACTTAATATCTCTCTGTGCCGATTTTATCTGATACAGTTGAGATGCATTTACTGTGCTGAAAGATTTATTGAGCTTTCATGGAAAGAGAATCATGTTGTGGGTTTTTTGTTTGGGTCAGTTTCAACCTAAAATGCTAAGCAAAATGACAAAAAATATTTGGATGTGGTGTTCTTACTAGAGACTGTTTTTTCCAAAGGACACATTCTGATACTCCCCTAGCAGCCTAATGAAGTATTTACAGCATTGTGTCTGTGTTAGAAATTCAGAGAGGCCTAGAGAGATCAGAAGGATGGGAAGAACATGAAAAAGGACTTAAATTCTGAAAACCTTGCCAAGGGTCAAATTGAACAAGTTCTCTGTAACCAGAATTTCCAGTGCAATCAATTAAGCTTGTATGTGCAGAGTGCATACAAGGTTGATCAACACTGCCTAAGAGGGGTAATGGCACTATTTAAAGGAAGATGAATATTTGGAACACAGTTAAGTCAGAAGATGAAACTGAAAAAGACAAGAAGTAAATGTAAAAAGAAGAGTGATGAGATTTTCATGGATTGTGGTAGCAATGATGATGCAGTCTCTGCTCTGGCACATCAGATCAAGCAATAGGAGATAAAAATCTTCTCTCTGAAGATACTTATTGCTGTGTCAGAAAGAGCTAGACAAAGCTAAAGAATAAAGGAAGAGGATGTTTAACATCCTATATAACTGGTGCAGTGTTCATGTAGCAGTAAGGGGATGGAATGGTGCAAATCTGTACCAAAAAGCATTCCCTAGCAGCAAAAAGCATTTCAATATGGCAAGTCTTTCATCAGTATTAGCAGCTTAATTATGGAGATGTTGGTAAATGCATCTGTTCTTTCTCATGTTTTTGAAAGCTGCATGAGTATTTCAAGCCATACCAGCAGCCTCCAGCAGCAGTTTTCTGTGCGCTGGCAATGAAAAAGCAAATTGCAGCAACTGTTAGTGTTACTGTACTTTGCTGTTTCATCTACAAAGGAAATTCTTGACACTCTCTCCTTGACACTCAGAGTAAAAAATATGGGAACATTTCTTTTTTGGCTGCTCATTTTATATATATGCCTGGGCAAGCCAAATACTTTCAAGTCAGAGCCAAGTTAGAACCAAGCCTAGGATCTGATTTGTCTCTGGGAACCAAAACCAAAGCTGTACTACTAAAAGCACATTGTAAACTTAATGAATAATGAAATACAGAGAAAAAAATTCTGGAGACCAAGCCCAGACAGGGCAAAGGCAAAGTACTTAATGCAGTACATTTGTTTTGCATTACTATGGAATATGCATTTTCTTTTTAAATATTCAGAACATTCACTGCAATTTAATTAAGCATCAATTTACTAAGTTTGTAAGCTGTGTAAAAGCCCTAAGAAGAACTTTGGGCCACAAACAGCTTCATATCTCCAGCCCTATAAGAGCTGATAGTGGTTGCATTGGAAATGCTCTGTGCTTTAAACAAATCATATAGAAAAATATTTTACTAAATGCAAATACAGTAACCATGATCCAAGAGACATTACATTTGAGATGCATTAGGTCATGCCTTTTTTAAAATGTGCTTTTCCTTTTTTTCCCCATCAGCTCTTGAAAAACTTTGGAAAGATTGTGTCTCATGACCCAACCCCTACCAGAAGTTAACTGAATTCAGAGGTCTCAACCTGGCCTGATAAGCAAATACAAGTCCAATTCAATGACATGCATTACTGCAAAATTAGGCCTCAGCAGTTTGGAGGAGAGAAGATAATTTGATTCTCCAAAACATTATAATCCGAGCTATACCCTGTCATTGTGTTCTGACAGCTGAAACATAGTCGACATTAGTATTCAGAACTAGTCATGATGATCATAAAGGAATGGTTTTAGAGGAAGCCACTTGACCATGTTTGCCTGCATTATGTAGCATTTATTCACATCTAAGATAAAATCATGAGGGATCTTGCAATAGCATTTTGCTGTCAGGTGTTCAGCCTCAGGTTGGCTCTCTCACAGACAGTACAAGTAAAACAAGAAGCAGGCTAAGCTACAGAACAACAAAAGATTCCACAGCCAGTGCCAGCCTGAGAAGATTCAGGAGCATTTCCAACTACTATATTTAGCTCCAAAGTACATCTGTAGGTGATGAAAACATATCATACGCCCTGTTAAGACCTACCTTATCATGTGGTAGGATGTTTATCTCCTGTCTTGAAAATAAAAACTCTGAAATTCCCTGAGAAAAATCAACTCCACAAAAACATTCTTAAACACATTTATTACAATTGAGTAGGAAAATCTGTTAGTTTTCTTTGGGAGCAAGAAGCTGGATTCCTAATTAGAACTTGTGAGCATATTCATTTTCATAATCATTCAAGTACATGCATGGGATGCACATAAATCCATGTGTGCTTTTTCAGCACTTGGCCAGCACTCAACCCACTACATTAGGACACCCCTAAGTGCCATTTACAAGATGTCTGGTTTTAAAAGAATACAGCCCACAGTTCTGTACATACAGAACCATATCCAGGAGATAAAATATCTCCTTGCTAATATAATAATATTGGTATTTATTTTGCAGTCTCTCTCTTGCAGTCCTGTTGGGTGCAGAATAGTCATTTGCTTCAAAGAAAAGGCCTTTCAATCATTTCCCTCTAAGCAAAAAAGAAAAAAAAAGGAAAGAAAAATATGAACACTGAGCTAAATCAACAATGCCAATAAAAGGCATCCCAATCTCTGTATTCTGATATCCCAGACACTTACATAGCAGCTAGAGGATAGGAAAACTTTAGTTAATTTCCATACCTCTTAAATGATGCATGGATACCAATAACAAAATATTAAGATTATTTTTTTTTTGTTTGTACTCCATAGTCTTCTGATTACAAATTTCAGTTAATCTGAAATTTTCAGTTTATAAACACATGCTTCATTTGGTGTTTATTTGCTTTTGTCACAGGTTTGTTTATATTTGTATTCCATTGTGCTATGAAAGAAAATGTGCAGAAACAGTGGAGGAGACATCTCTGTTGTGGCAGATTCCGACTGGCAGACAATTCAGGTAAAGGCAGTTCACAGCTCCCCTCCTTAGGTGCTGCATTTGTCTATAAAAGTCCAGGCAAACAGCTTGCTATGTTATTTTAATATAATACAAGGTAAGCAAGATATATGGGTGATGGTTTTGGAAGGCCCATCAGACCCTAAAAATAAAATAAAAAATAAAAAAATCCAGAGATTCAAACTTTGTCATGCCAAGCCCAGTCTTGCTCATTTTCTCCTATAATAAAGTATGTTGACTTTGAATTGCGTGGATGGTTAAGCTGATGTACGAGCAATTCTAAAAAGTTGCATAGAAATATTACGACTTCTTTAGCTTTTATTTTTGCCTCTTTTAAACTGTCCTGTCCTTTGCCATTGAATTCAGAGACTATTAGAGACTCAGAAATGTAGAAAATTCCCTTAACAGAAGCCTGTTAGGTTCTAGAAATGAACCTTCTTCTGGAACAGTCAGAGTGAAAGGAGAGACGTTGGTTTGGACACATGAGAAGTCTAATGCTTGGGCCACTATACTTATAGTTTCCTGCACCTTTGGCCATCTTGGATGGCATGAGACTGCTTTGTTCAGGCAACTGGCTCTTCCTTCGCTGTCTGATGTGGTGATTTGGACCATATAATTCTTTCTCATATGGTTCTTGTTCAATGACCAGTGTTAAATCTACAGCTGGTGTAAGGTGACATAAGCTCATTGCTTTCTATGGTAAGCTTTCATTTTGTAGTAAAAATACTTCATTCATTATTTCAAAGGGTTAATACAAACTAGGAAAATCATTTTCATTCTGATCAGACATCCAATTTATTTCATATGTTCAGTTTCCATGTGATTAATCCTATAACTCCTGAACTGATAAACAAAGATAGATCAAATTATTTACTTTTTTTTTTTTTTGTGCTGCTGTTGGACAGCTTGTGAATAAGGTAGAAATAAATATGAATATGGTAGAAATAAAAACATGAAGGATTTAAATATTTCGGTGGCATAGTTAATGTGATGTCATTATGTCTGGCGTAAACCAGTTTATCTCCATGGGTTGGTTTTAATCTCCATGAACCTGACACTGTTTTCAGGCAGAACAGTGAAACAGAAATCAAATGTGAACTTGCATACCTAAACACTCTAGCAATAATTTACTATAATTTGGTTTGATTTAAATCAAGACTAAAGTGGCCCACATGTCTTTGGCTTGGACTTCTCTTTCATTTTGTGAATTTAATTGAAGTGAAATAACAGTGAATAACAGCAAGATGACTAAATTGCGAAACCTCCTGCACTTACCAAAATTGCATGGTACAAAAGTAGTTAGCTACTTTTATTCTACTGGTATTGGGACATTTGTGGTGAGGTTTTAAGTGTTAGTTTTCTTCAGTCAGTTTATTGGTATTAGCTATTTAATTTCATTTTAGAAGTTGTTCCAGCATAGGAGCCTATTGTGTTAATGTTTGGACCAAATTCTGTAAATGTGAACTACTGAATAAACTTTATTATGTAAATTGTGCACCAATATGCCAAACAACAAGCTAGTTGTCAGTATGTAGTATCTTCCACAGCAGCAGCTGCAGATCAAACCCTCAGATGATAAGATCATTGTAAATGATCCTATCACCTTTGGATTTTGCTCTTCAGGCCAGGAAAGTTTGGTATCCCTATACTGCTACACAGGTCCTCTGCTCTTCTGCATTCTGGAAAGCCAAGTCATACTTGCAGTTCTGCTGTCCAGACAAACTATTGTTAGAGTGTTAGAGCCACCAATTTCAACTGTTTTAGTAGAGTAAATCAAGTTGGAATACTTTTATCATTCTTAAGAACCAAAGAGGACACCTAACAGGAAAAGGATGGGGTATTTATTAAAAGCAGTACTAAGAAATGCATCATATATTTGAAATAATCATAATTGAATAAATTAGGCATTTATTACAGTAGTTATTAATGTAAAACTTCTCAATCATTTTTAGATTGGAGCAAAACAGCAACCAATATTATAAAGAAGAGTTCCGATAATCTTGGGAAATCCTTATCCTCTAGTTCCATTGGCTCCAATTCAACTTATCTAACATCCAAATCAAAATCTACGACGAATACATATTGCAAACGAAACAGCCATACAGGTGAGTTCTTGCATTGCAACCCAGTGCATCTGTGAGCACACAGGTTTGTGTTAAAGGCACAGCAAGCATTTCTACCCCAAGGTTAAAGAGAGAAAATTTCATCAAATCATATAGTGCCAGTATTTTTTAAATATATGTTACTGTTTAATAAGAACCATTACCTAATGTGCAATACATCCAGTATATAGATCTGATCTCCATATGTTCCCATACTAAATGAAATAGGCTTGATGAAAGCAAATTTTGCTTATTATCCTATTGTAAACACAGGGTAGCCAAAGCACAGAGAGATGGCGTTCTTCACCCAAGGTAACATGAAAGCTGGCAGTACAGCTGGAAATAGGAATCAAGTCTTCAGAGTCCAAGTCCACAGCTGATTGTCTTGGTTAAACTCCTTTCATCTAACTGTAAAACATTTATGGGTAAAAAGACAAATGGAGCCTACTCGGAAATGGATACTGTGTTCCCAGAGTATGCATTGTCTTGCCCTTCTACAAATAGCCATATCTATTGCTTATTTATTTAGATATCAATGGTATATGTAATAAAAGGCATCATCTGTATTCCACTCATACCGTGAAAATGTGCTAATTTTAAGACTTTAAAAGTAGGGAGCAAAGAAAGAGAGCAGCTGGAATGATTTGCAAGTTTGGTTGTGTCTGAGATAGTATTTCAGAAATTCAGTTATATAGTTCAGATTTTTTTTGTTACTCTGATTTTGTGACTGCATGTTTTTGTCCTGTGTAAAGTCACATAGCATTATTATACAATACTCTTTTACAAATATAGTGGAAATAAAATCTGAGACCATATTTAACTCAAAGGTGTGTTTACTTGTTTTAAAATATTTATCAGAAAAAAATGTTCAGATATGAAGTAGATGATTTCACTAGAATGCAAGCTATGTTATTTCTTAAGTATTAATTATTTTTGTTAAGCCCCCAATGTCTCATTTATGATGGGACACTCACCTTTCTTGATGCATGGCATAGTTTCCAGGAAATACCTTCTATTATTTTAATTGATGATCATTACCTGCTTCAGTTAGGCACAAACACTTCTTTGTTTAAAAGTAATTACACTGTTGTTTTCTCACTGACCAAGATTCAGTGCATCCATTAGCATGAGGGATTGTGCATCAGGCATTTTAAAGGTTTAAAACTTTATTGTTTATTGAGAACATACAGGAAGTACATCTGCTTTGAATACAGTAAAAATGAGAAGTATCTTAGAAATTCCTGATGACTGATAGCACCTGGGCTTGCTCTCAGGACTGCTGTTCACAAGTGCACTGGGAGCACATGGCTGGTGCCTGCCTCCCTGGGCTGCCTGTCCCTGCTGCCAGGTCAGGTTCGGTGTGCGGTGTGCCCAGGTTGCCCTGTTCATTCATCTCCTCCCTGCAGGAACACTTCTGCCAGCAGTCTTCCACAAACAGCATCTTTAATATCAGGCTATCAATTAAGAAGACTTAGTGCTGGAGTTTTTGCAAGTTGTTCTTGAAGTAAAACAAAGAAACTGTTCCAGATAAGAAATAGTAAAGTTAAAAGAAACTTGCTCATATATATTCTTCAAAAATTATTAGCTTAATCCCATGCATAAATTATTGCTTAAAAGGATTGCAGTTCTTAATGCAATCAAAGGTTTTAATATGAAGAATTTTTGGACATTAAGAGAATACAACAGTTTTCTTTTTATTTTTTGGAATTTTAATACATTTCACTTTGTTCTCCAAAATACACTTCTTATTGTGATACTCTATGGGAATTTTTGATAACACTAGGTTTTTAAATACTGACATATCTTCTCATGTGTAAAAATAATAAAAGTAATAAAAAATAATATTCAGATTCTGATTGTTAATACAGCTGAACTTCTCAGTTTGCCAACTTAGCTAAATTGCAGGCAAAGAATGCCATAGCTACCTGTCTTGGCAAGTCTTGTTGATACATATGGTAATAATGTGCTCCCTGGAATTGACACAAGCATTCATGTGTTTGTGGTGTAGATAATGTCTTCTAAGGCCCTTTCCTCATCAGTGGTGGAGCATTACAGGTAAAGTGAGAATTGCTTTTGTTGAATGCATGGTTGTAACAGGGTGGAGGGATGCTTCTTGCATGATGTCCTCATTGACGCAGAGGATTTTGCTAATCAGAAACGCTGCTTATTTCTATTACATCTTGCACCACTGATGCTGAATCAAAGGACAAGCATGCTTCAAACTCTGGGTGTCTGCACTCTGCATGGGGCACACAGCATTTAGAAGATACCATTTTAGAAAATAGATGTTAATGTCCTGAAATTAATGCCTGTGAGCAGTAGTATGGGGAAAGGAGATTATCCTGAAATTACCCATACACGAAGTATACATTAAAAAGCAAAACTGATCTGATTGGGTTCCAGAAGATTCTTTAGTATTTATCAAAGTTATTACAGAAAATTTAATATATTTATATTTGGTATGTGGCCATTACTGGATTAGTCTTCTAGACATTGAGATTTTTATATCCATTAGCACCCAAAATTACTCCTAATGATGAATTATATATGCCTGAAAGCCAATCTATGAACTGCTGCTTGAATACAGAATGCATCAACCCTCATGAGTGAACAAAAGAGGTCACTATGGCACCTTGTGTCCCAGCTGTCTACAAGCCCAAACCAAACTACTTGTAGAAAGTACTTAAATATCCTCTGTAACACTTCAGTGAATCAGAACTTAAGACGATCTCTGCAGAGAATTTGGTCATACAGCTCACACTTCAGGGATACATGATTTTGACCCTGTACTTAGATGTGAAGCCATTGGTTAGTAAATGCATACATTTGAAAGGCTCTCAGTACTCAGAAATTTGCCATTGGACATGGAGTTACTCACTGTAATTCATGAACATTCTTGCGTGCTTTGAAAATTCATCCTGATAAGCCTCAACATGCCTGTTTCTGGTTTTATGAGTGAAACTGTTTTGATTTCTCTGTCTGCAATCCATTTCTCCTTTGTGCTCTTTTATGGCTTGGCATCATGACTCTTCCAGGGATGGGTTACGTTTTATTTCTAGTTGGTTTATTTCTAAGAAAAGTTTTTTATGAAGTCATGGTTCAAGTAGTATGCTTAATTCTTAAATGATCCTTTAACAAGGAATTTTAGGAGATGACTTCACCGAGGTCTTGTAAACAGCCATCAAAACTATCATTTGTAGAAGACATTTCTTCCCAGGGTGCTCCACCTTACTGCTGGCTTGCAGTGGTAGAGATCTTGCTCAGGTTCAGGGAATTTATTCCAGCTTCACTGCGTGGAAGAGATAGAAAGAGAGTTCGGTTAGGACAGCATGCTTGATAAAATGAGAGACAAGCTCTCTCCTCATTTCTCGCTACGTTAGCTCTACCTACTGACCGTTCTCGGAACAGCAGGAATGCGAGCCGCTGAAGCAGACTTTCCCAGTCTGGCTGGGAATTGCCTTGCTTCTTTACCTCTTCAGTTCACCCTTGACCTCTAGCTCATGGACTCTGAAGGGAGACCCCGTTGTTACATCCTTTCCTCCTTAGTTTTCAGCCTGCACATTATGGAAAAAACAAGGTGAGGCTAGGCAATCACAAAGTTTTGGCTCTGGTTATCTGCTTTAGGAGGAAAGACATTCTCTGCTACATTCAGCACAGATTATATTATTTCTGTGCATAGCTCAAAGCATCCACTGTTGAAATAATTCAATCTTTTCACAGTCATTCTACAGTACTTTATTATGTGGAGATACTATTTATGGAGATCCAGTGCTATCAAAATATTTTTAGTTTGTAAGATTCAGAGCATCAGCAGTAAATTAGTATGTTAAAAGGTCATAGGAGTCAGTAACACTTTAGGCAAAATAATAGAGGGATAATTTCAAGTGATACCTGAAAGGTCTGCCCACAAAACCAGGCATCTCAAAAGAATTTAGAAGAAGCAATCTCAAGCCAAAAACTTATTTTAGGGCAGTAATTTAGTTCAGCAGTAGTGGCAATTGAAGGCATATCAATGTGGGAGTGACACATCTTTTAAACTGTGAATTTGCTTAAGAGACCCTAACTACTTCTTGTTGCTTTTTCTTCCTCTTAGAGAAAGTTTTTCTTGACAAGCCATCTTCAAAATTTGCCCAGGAGGATGGAGAACAGACATCAATCATCCCTGTCCATCAGGTTATTGACAAAGTCAAAGGATACTGCAATCCTCACTCCGACAGCTTCTATAAAAATATCATGTCCGACACATTTAGTCGCAGCACAAAGTTCTAACTGGGTTTCTGATTTGCTGTTTTTTTAAATCAAAGGAATACAAAATGTGTGCCTGGAATTGAGAATATTGAATGTCATAAAATGTGATCTGTTCAGTTATTTTTTCCCAGTTTATAGTGTTCTCCTGCAAACAGCTTCCACTTAAGGACTGATTTTTTTAAGTTTTTACTGTTGTGGAAAATGACAGTTTTTTACCATGGTATTGAGCTGTTTTTAAATGTGTGCCAGCCAGCATGATGCCTGGACAGCTAATTATAATCTTGTAAGACTGAAGAGCCACAAGCCTAACTTAAAATAATATAATCCAAACAGAAGCAAGTCTTGACTCCTGGAGAAAATAGCAGACATGTCATGCAATACAGACAAGCTTTTATTGAGCAATTTTATGATGGTCTTTTTGTTTTGAAAAATATGGATTTTCCCTATGGCACTTGTTAGATTCTTGCTTCTTGAATGTCTAGTGCTCTTTATTCATGAGTGAATAAAACCCTACCACCACTTAAAGGGTTATTTTAAAACATTTTTGCCTAAATATACCTGATCATGCAAACCTTACTCACCAAAACAGCATATGCTGTAAATGCAGGCAAATTTGTATCCATATACATAGAAAAACAGTCTTCACAGAGTTGTGTCTCAGCATTTATTGATTGGTATGCATGAAATGCAGTGTCTTCCATCTCAAGTCTGTGTTTAGTGTTCTTTTTTCACAAAACAAAATAACAAAAAGGCATTCAACTATATATAGTTATACAAACATATACCTAGAACTCTCTCTACACATATTTTTTATAACAATACACACAGTAAATATGACAGTGTATACCAGAGACAATCTAAAAACTATGGACGGTGCTAAAATTTAAGTCTAAATATTTAAATGCAAGATGAATTCTTTGTAAACCCATGAGTGTCAATCTCTGTACTTCACAAATACTGTATGTATAGACACCTCCATCAGATGGCATTGCAACATTAGGATAACCTGGAACATGTTTACCAAAAATAAATAACATTTTTCTGGGCACATAACATTATCAGTATCCCTTTGTTGCCCTGTTGGATGACATGATTGAGGTTGTTGGATGCACAGAGTTTAAATGTTCAGGCAATATTAAGGAATTTCATATTGCTATGCTGTCTCCATGACACTGAGGGGTGTGTGTAGGGGGGTGTGTGCAGAGAATAGACAAGAGCATAAAATGTTTACTTGTTTTACTCTCTATAAATGTGTGACATATTAGCAAGTGACCTTGAGTGCCAAAAGGGCATCTCTCCTCATGAACCATGTTCCACCCCATGACAAGCTTTGTAAAAATTGTAGCTGCACATGTTTCTGAGGACATGTGCTGAAACATAAAAGGTTTTTTCAAGTACCACATTCAGAGGAGAATGTCTCCGATTGGAGGTTTTAATTTTTTTAATTATCCCTTTTTTTAACCAAAATATTTTTAGCCATGTATTTAATTCTTTGAATTCAGAGAGCATAAAGTTGTGCTGAGATTTTTTGGTTGCCAAGCAGGTGGATGCTCAGTGATGAGGGATGTGGGTTTGTGCTTTCTCTGCTCTTTGCACGTGCTTTTGTGTGCAGAGATCATTTAATGCTGTGACCGCACGAACAGCACATTTCCCCTGGCTGCAAACACCTGGTGGGAGGAGGATGTCCCAATGGATCCCACCCAGGAACACCGCTGTCACTACACAGACCTGAGCAAAACCTCAGTCTCATAACTGCAAATACATTTGTGGTCTCTGAATGGAGGTCAGCCCCATTCACTCAAACTGTAATTAATAACAGGGAGGAGTGTTGTCAGATATCTTTAATAATTGAAATAATTTACAGAGAGATTATGTACAAGCATTTACTGAACTTATATTTTATCTTCCCACTTGCTTAACTACTGTAGGTAATAGTGTTCATATAGCAGCTTACTGTGAGATTTCTACCTGACTAAGATGTTCAAAAGTGAAGAGAAGGAAAAGCAAACATTCCTGAAAAAAATGAGGAATCAAAAAAATATAACAGATGAAAAATATATAAATAAAAAAACCCACAGCATCCTGAATGAAGCTGAGCTGTCACCTATCAGTTTAATGTACATCTACCTGTATTTTTGCTGAATTAAGATTTTTTTCTCTTTTTTTACTACCATGTAGTAATCATAAACTGTCTGTGTCACTTAGCTGCTCTTGAATGCTCTCAATTCTACAATGTAAAGCTTTCTGTTTTGTAGTTGACATGCTGTAACCTCCCTTGTACATATTTATTTATTTTTGAGGTTAAATATGTCAAATATACTTAGCACTAAAATGACTGTTCTTGTTACTTTAATGCTAAGTTTCTGCTTCATCATAGAAGAAGAGGGAAAGAATAATTTCTTATATACTTTTTCTAACTTGTGAAACAGTTTACTGTAGCTCTATCTTTTGCAACTTTGAGGAAACTTGTCAGTGTAATTTGTGATACTAGTCAGTGAAATATAGTGTAACAGGTTTGAAGATGGACTAAAATGGAAAGAAACCTTTTCAAGTAAACATTTTTTATGTTAGTGTTCCAAGTAATTAAAGTCTTTTAATAGTGAATGGTTGACTTTTATTTCTCCTTTTTAGTGTTTAATGGCAAAAATTACACAGTGGAACTCTGGAAAATAATCTTGTGTTTTTTTAAGTACTTGAGACAGGTACACGCCTAGACAAAATGTTGGAAATAAATGTGCAAGACTAACTCCATCTCATCAGGGGAACACATTTTGCAAAATATGCCTTTCCCTTTTGTAATTTATTCAATGCCACATTCAGTGAATGACCTGGAAGTTATGCAATCTCATTTATTTACGGTGGCAGTCATGTCATAGAAATTAAAATAAAATCATGTCCACTGACAATATGCTGGGATGGTATTTTAAAGTAATACAAATGAATAATTTAAAACTCAGGAGTTATTCCTTTCTATTTGTTTCTCTACAGCTGGATGTAGTTCCTCATTATCAATATTTTCATTCAACTTATAATACTCTTATCACCGCTGAAAAATTTGATTCAGCCAATCACTTGATAAATACACACTACTGTATAAACAATAAATGTCACACACTAATGGCCTACCTTTTCTTGCTTACCTCTAAAGAAGATGGAAATATGCTGAAATGTGTCAGATCTGCTCCCCTGCATTTAAGTCTCATCACAGAAAACGCACAGAATACGAGGATTGATATAAGTGATATCTTTTAGAAAGCATTAAAAAAGCCCTGTGGGAAAAGTGGCATTTCATAATGAGGCTGCTGGGTGCACCTGTGTACAGTCTGTCTGTGTGTGTCTGTGGACAGTGAACACTACCCTTGGGCTTTATGCCTCAAAGAGTGTGGGAGGACCCTCTGAGGGAAGGAGCCCGGGTTTTTTTTCCCAAGTAGAATCTTGGCAGATGCCAAACTTGTAAGGAGTGATTTGCAGCATTTGGGGGTGGATTTATTTTTCTCCTCATTTCATCACTTTTTAAATACCAAGAACAATTTTATTTTAATCCTCTACTGTTAACAGCTTCCTACTGTAACCCATTGAGTTACATAAAATGCCACTTCATTTTATTACTTTTGAAAGGCTGAGCTATAATCAGACACATCTATATAACTTCAGGGACAGCTACCGAGTTACAGGGCAGCAATCTGTCATTCATGGATTCATTATAAAAAGTTTTTATGCATTTGCTGTATATAAAGATGTAAACCCACATTGGGGTCAACAACTTAGGCAAAGGGTTTGGAAGTTAATGCCAGGGAAATCAATCATGCAAACCAGTCTGTGGAGCAGACCTTTCATGCTTTCATGCCCAGCACTCCAGCTACTGATGTGCCAAGGAGGCTTTCCCCTTCACCTTCCACTTAGCTGGTCTTTGGTTACTCAGTCCATTTATTCGTCAGAGCTCCTGGAACCATGGTGACACTTCCATCCTTGGGACAACCATTTACTGTAGTGCTAGAGAAAGGAAGAGAGGGGAAAAAAAGAGGAGAAAGGGAAACTGAAACTGAAAGAGGGGAAAAGGTAGTTGCCAAGGCCTGCTTTTCATCTTATACTTTTCACATGATTTTTTGCCCCTTGCCCAGGTTGTGTTGCCCTGGCCAACAATGGGGACAAGGCCATTGGAGTAGGTAGGACACACCATCATGGCTATTGGTGCATTTGTCAATGTAAACTACTGGTTTTGATTCTCCAGCTTTAAGTTGAAAATCTTTCATGGTTCTTCAAGGCAACAATTCCAGCATTTCCGTGCTTGAAGACTTATCTAGAATAATATTTCTGTAGTTCATAAAGAAGATAATTCTTCTCAGGATGAGAAATCAGACTGATAAGCACCACACCAGAAATGGAATGGAATCCCATGGAAATGTTTTCTGGAAGGATAACCCTTCCCCAGATGCATCTGCTCACTCAAAGCCAATGCTGCTGTTGTTCTCACTAGAGAATAGTTTTAGTACTCATGATGAGTGCACATTGTGGTGCTGTCCATATGGATTGCGTAACCACAACCATCTGTGCTTAACCACAGCCCTTTTAGTGACAAAGTTCTCTCAAGGTGTGTTGAGTGATTTATCTTACAAAATATATGCAAGTTTGATTCTTTAGCTTGTAACAGATAGTCTGAACTGGGCACTTTTTATCCCAACTATTCTAGTAGGAGTTCTTAAAAACCATACCTTTAGGTAGAAAAGGGTTCTCAAAAATTCAAACTGTATTCCATACATTAAGTGTATGAAAGAGCAAATGCTGCTACCTCTGGTGTGATGTTTTCTTCCACTGCCAGGTTTTTCCCAGTCTGGGTGCCCTCCAAAGTGAGAGGATAAGACAGCCATGGTAGGGGAGTGGATCCTGCTCTGTCTAGTGGTCAGAAGACTCCCACTGTCCCTGTCCTGTTGCATTTCATGTGTCTCCAGCACCAAAAGATTCTGCTCTGGTTTTCTTTTCTTCTTGTCTGGCTCCTGCTTTTCCAGCAGAGGGCGGTGGCATATTTCTAGTTATAAATCTGTTAAAATCCAGTGAAAAATGCAGAAAGATTCCTCCATATGTGCACCCGCGCAGAAATAAGTAGGAGAGTTCATACCAGGTTTGTCTATTATTTAGCAATCAGTTACATCACCAGATAAAGCAAACACTCTGCACTCAGGGAAGTGAGGGGAGAGAGCTGTCTGCCTGCATTTGGGCATATTTAGTGGAAAGAGCAATACAGAGTCTCTCTGTAATTCTCTCTCATTGGTTGTTACATCTCCTTTTTTGCTTTGAGGGGATGCAATGGAATTAGCAATTGCTACACTTCTGTCAGCTGAGCAAACAGAATCAGCTCACCATTTCAGGCTTGTACATTTGTACTTATTCCACTATTGGGCAAACTATTTGATCTGCTGGAATGTCAGCCTGTGACTCAGAAATTCACTGTATGCATAATTGTCCAGGGAGGAAAAAACTCCAGCAGCTCTCTGTTGACAGTGGCACACAGATCCATACCTCCCTACCACTTTTTCCATCAAGGACATAGGAACAGATCTGCTGTCAGCTGGTTCCTCTGTTCATGTACTCCTTCCCCAAGGCACATATTACCCAGTCAGCTCAAGAAAGGTGCAGAACTACTGGGCTACAGACCCAGCTGTCCAGCTGCCCCAAGGCCATTCTGTCATAGGGCAGGACTGACCAGAAATCTGCTCCATTGGAAAATGGCACCCTGTCGAAATTAAAATGTCTCATCTGCAATTCTGGCTTGTCCCTGGACTCTCATTGGCATGTCCCTCTGAATGCACACTGTACCAGCACCAAGCTAAGGGGAGACAAGTTGCCTGGGGGAGATGGAGCAGGGAAGGCAGGGAAGGACATGGCCTGATCTAGCTCCACTTCCTTTTTTTGGAGCATGGCTGCTGTGGCTGTGGGAAGAAGGAGCAGTGGGAAGGGAGTCCCACAAAGGGTCAGGACTTGGTGTACACAGCAGAGCAGAGTAGTGTGACAGATGTCATTACGCCATCATTTCTCCAAA